CGATCTACACTGGGGGACACTGGGAGGAACTGGGAGGTACTGGGAGAAACTGGGGGGCACTGGGGGGAACTGGGGGACACTGGGAGGAACTGGGGGACACTGGGGGGCACTGGGAGAAACAGAGGAACTGGGGGGCACTGGGAGGAACTGGGAGGTACTGGGAGAAACTGGGGAGCACTGGGAGGCACTGGGAGGAACTGGGAGGAATTTCTGTGGGCTGGGGGGGGACTCACAATCCCATTCCACCCCTGCTACTCCTGCTCATCCCATTCCACCCCTGCCTCTGCCCCAGGTGGCTCCAGCCTGGCCCTGGGCACTGCCAGGGCAGCCCCAGCCTCCCTGGGAAATCTGCTTTGATTTATTTAAAACAGAGATTGGGGAGTCAGGAGTTAGATCCTCACCCCCCAGTTCAGGTGCAAGGGGATTTTTGGGCAGTGCTCTCACAGAGCCATGCAATGGTTTGGGTTGAAACAGATTTTAAAACTCATCCAGTGCCATGGCAGGGACACCTTCCACCATCCCAGGTGCTCCAAACAGTCCCTGGGCATCTCCAGGGATCCCGCAGCCCCAGCTGCTCTGGGAAATCTGTTTTCATGTATTTAATCCCAAATATCCAATATTGGTGAGCTCAGGAGTCAGGAGTTAGATCCTCACCCCCCAGTTCAGGTGCAAGGGGATTTTTGGGCAGTGCTCTCACAGAGCCATGCAAGGGTTTGGGTTGAAACAGATTTGACATTTTCCACCATCCCAGGGTGCTCCAAGCCCTGCCCAGCACTGCCAGGGATGCAGGGCAGCCCCAGCTGCTGTGCACCTGTGCCAGGCCCTGCCCACGCTGCCCCGTCCCCCTGCCTGGCACTCACACACAGTGCCAGTCCCTGCAGCACTGGGAGCCCCAGGGGGCTCACCCCAAACCCCTCTGCTCCCCACCCTGAGCTCCCACCCTCGCCCAGGAGCCCAGCAAATGAGTTTAATTCATTTGCAATGATTTGCTGCCAGCAGAAGGTACTGGGAAAGGATAAAGTTTAAAACAAAGCCTCCCTTTTCCCCCAGCTGCTCTTTATGCAGACTCTGGTGAGGATTACAATCAAGGCACCAGGCACTGAGGGATTTTTTTTTTCTTTTCATTCCACACAAGTTTTAAAGGACCTTTTTTTTTTTTTTCCCCAGCTGAAATGGGCTGTAAAATGTGCATAACACAAAGATCATATAAATAAAGTGTTAGTCACAAGAATCTGCAGGTAGAACATCACTGCAGATTTTATCCTGTGCTTGGAGACTACACAAGCACAGTTTTTTCTCTTTTCTGTCCTTAAAGAGTAAAATGTAGGGCCTACAATAACTCAGCCTGTTCTGCACTGCCTCTGAGTCCCTGCAAAACCAGGACTAGGTTTGCTCTCAGTTACAGAACCTGAATTTGATCCCAACCATTTCCCCACAATCCTGAAGGAGAATTTGCTAAGGGGATTGAGGAGTGGGGAAATCACTGGAACAGCAAAGGCAGAACAGCTGCTCTCCTCTCTTCAAACAGCACAGCAAGAACGAAAACACCCAAAACCAGAACTTTTGGCAGCAGAACTTGACCCCCCTCAGCTGTCCCCTCCTGGCAGGGGTTGTGCAGAGCCAGAAATTCCCCCTGAGACTCCTTTTCTCCTTTCCCAGCTCCCTCAGGAATTCTCCAGCCCCTTCAGGAATTCTGAGGGGTTTAGGAGCTCAAATTCCACTGATTTTTTGTGGATCTTCACCAACTGAGCCCCTCAGGCTCTTCAGGAGTGTCCTGAAGGTCTCACCAAGGCTGCCTTGGAGGACCTGAGTGGTTTAGGAGCTCCATCACAGCTGAGTGATGAAGCACTCAGAGCAACCCAAAACCCTTAAGAAGAATTTGAGGAAAAATGTATATATACACAGCCAAAATCTCCAGCTAAAACAAAGGAAAAGAGAATTTGGGGGATTTATGCTTTTCAAAGGTGGAGAAAATAGCTTCTACCTGAGAGGCCAGTGATGTCCATCTTTGGCAAATGCCTGGCCTTCAGCACCACCACAGTCATCCTCTGTGCCACGGGCTGGTAGGACAGGGACACCTGCAGCTCCCCTCTGCTGATGCACTTCTGCCAGAGAAACACACACAGCTCCTGAGCAAGGCTGCTCTTCCACACAGGGAGGTCCCCAGAGCTTCCTCCCCTCGTGTGAAATGCTTAAAAAGTTGGGAAATGAGCCCCAGGTGTCTCAGCTGCAGAAGGGGAAGTGTTCATCCCACAGCTGGGGCATCCCCAAGCAAGGAAATCTGCATTTCTAGGAGGGGAAAACTTGGTGGGAGCTTCTGAGAGAGGAGAGGCCAAGGCTGCCTTGGGGGATCTCAGGGCTTTAGGAGCTCAAATTCCACGGATTTTTTGGTGGATCTTCACAAAGAGCCCGTCAGGCTCTTCAGGAGTCTGCTGGAAGTCTCACCAGGGCTGCCTTTGGGGTTCTGAGGGGGTTAGGAGCTCAAATTGCAGATTTTTTGTGGATCTTCAGCAGCTGAGCCTCTCTTCAGGAGTGTCCTGAAGGTCTCTCCAAGGCTGCCTTGGGGGCTCCGAGGGGTTTGGGAGCTCAAATTCCACTGATTTTGGGGGATCTGTTACCAAAGGGCTCCGAGGGGTTTAGGAGCTCAAATTCCACTGATTTTGGGGGATCTGTTACCAAAGGGCTCCAAGGGGTTTAGGAGCTCAAATTCCACTGATTTTGGGGGATCTGTTACCAAAGGGCTCCAAGGGGTTTGGGAGCTCAAATTCCTTTGTGGATCTTCAGCAGCTGAGCCTCTCTTCAGGAGTGTCCTGAAGGTCTCACCAAAAGTGCCTTGGGGGATCTGAGGGGTTTAGGAGCTCAAATTCCACTGATTTTTTGTGGTTTCATGGCTGAGGATCAGCATTATTCCTGCTTGGAAAACATGGAGGCTTCTGGATCAAAAGCTCTGGGGTCAAACACAGCCGTATCACACCAAAAATGTGTATTTGTGCAAAAAACAGAATTTATGGCTGAGGATTTGCATTATTCCTGCTGGTTAAACCAAGGAGGCTTCCAGATCAAAATCTCTGGGGTCAAACACAGGCCAAAGAGTCACCCAAAATGGAAGAGATTTACTTGTATGTTCCTTTTGAGGATCTCCCTGGTGAGCTGCACCTTGGCAGTGCTAGGATCCACCCCTGAAAGGTGGATGTATCAAACCAAAAATATTAATTTGGGGAAACCAGAATTTATGGCTGGGGATCTGGATCATTCCTGATCTGAGGCTCCCAGATCAAAATCTCTGGGGTCAAACACAGGCCAAGGAGTCACCCATCATGGAAGAAGGGTGAACACACTCCCTTACATGTTTCTTTTGAGGATCTCCCTGGTGAGCTGTACCCTGCCAGTGCTCAGATCCACCCCTGCAAGGTGGATGTATCACACCAAAAACATGAATTTGGGGAAAAAACAGAATTTATGGCTGGGCATCTGCATCATTCCTGCTTGTAAAAGCACTGAGGCTCCCAGATCAAAATTTCTGGGGTCGAACACAGCCGTATCACACCAAAATTGTGAATTTGGGGAAAAAACACAATTTGTGGCTGGGCATCTGCATCATTCCTGATCTGAGGCTTCCAGATCAAAATCTCTGGGGTCAAACACAGGCCACAGAGTGACCCAACGTGGCAGCAGGGTGACCGTGCTCACCTGTATGTTCCTCTTGAGGATCTCCCTGGTGAGCTGCACCTTGCCAGTGCTGGGATCCACCCCTGCAAGGGGCACCATCACCTCCCCAATGACATCATCCCGGGAGAAGCGGTCGAAGCTGAGCACCAGGAAGTGCAGCACCAGGTCCTGCAGCTGGCTGTAGGGGATGCCGTAGAAGGTGAAGGTCTCGTCAAAAACGGGCTCCAGGGTCTTGCGCAGCACGCGGGTCTTCACGCGGTGCCTCTTGTCGGGCAGAATTGTCATCTTGATGTAGGGGTCAGAGCTCTGGGTGTGCTCATCCATCACTGGCAGCCCGTGGGCCTCCTGGATGGTGACCACCAGGGCCTTTTTGGGGAAGTTGTAGTCCACCGAGAAGGTCAGGTCTCCCAGCGTGACGTCGTCACCGGGGGAAGAGGGAGAGGAGGTTTTACTCCCTCCCGGAGTGAGGCTTTGATCCGGGCTGAGTTCATCTCCATAATCGACTTTGATGGGGAGCTGGTCGACCTGGGGGGGTCCATCTGGAGCTTTGTTGGGGTCCCCCAGGCCAGCCTCAGCAGCATCCAGCAGCAGGTTGCCCCTGCTGCCCCCCTCCTTGGCCGTGCCGCTCTTGTCTCTCCGGATCCGGTTGATTTTCTTCTTGTTGCTCAAGGTCTCCGGGTAGATGCTGATGCCTTTCAGCATGTGAATGAATTTGTAGGGGGGGGTTTTGTGCTTCTTTTCTGCTTGCTGGTGACAGCATGTCCACACAAAGACTGTGACTGAGACAGAAACCACCAGCACAGTGGCTCCAATGAGTCCTGCCACCACGGGGGACACATCTGTGGGAAGACAAGGCAGTGAGGAGCAGCCTTGCAGATCTACACACTCCTGCTTTGAATTCTGGGATCTGCCTACCACAGCTTCCCCAAAATTCATGTCTCACACTCCTAAGGCATGCCTGACCTGTTTTCCATGAGCTAAGTAAGGATCTCTGTCCTGCCACCACGAGGGACACATCTGTGGAAGGCAGTGAGGAGCAGCACAGCTGGCTGCAGATCTCCAAACTCCTGTTACAGTTTTAATTCTGGGATCTGCCTACCACAGCTTCCCCAAAATTCATGTCTCACACTCCTAAGGCATGCCTGACCTGCTTTCCATGAACTAAGTAAGTATCTCTGTCCTGCCACCACGAGGGACACATCTGTGGAAGGCAGTGAGGAGCAGCACAGCTGGCTGCAGATCCCCAAACTCCTGTTACAGTTTTAATTCTGGGATCTGCCTACCACAGCTTCCCCAAAATTCATGTCTCACACTCCTAAGGCATGCCTGGCCTGTTTTCCATGAGCTAAGTAAGGATCTCTGTCCTGCCACCACGAGGGACACATCTGTGGAAGGCAGTGAGGAGCAGCACAGCTGGCTGCAGATCCCCAAACTCCTGTTACAGTTTTAATTCTGGGATCTGCCTGTCACAGCTTCCCCAGACATCACTCCCATCTCTAAATTTATTCTCACACTCCTAAGGCATGTCTGACCTGTTTTCCATGAGCTATCTGTGTCCTGCCACCACGAGGGACACATCTGTGGAAGGCAGCGAGGAGCAGCACAGCTGGCTGCAGATCTACACATTCCTGTCACACTCCTAATTCTGGGATCTGCCTGTCACAGCCTCCCCAGACATCACTGCTATCTCTAAATTTACTTTTCTCACTCCTAAGGCATGCCTGACCTGTTTTCCATGAGCTATCTGTGTCCTGCCACCACGAGGGACACATCTGTGGAAAGGCAGTGAGGAGCAGCACAGCTGGCTGCAGCTCCACACACTCCTGTCACACTTTTAATTCTGGGATCTGCCTGTCACAGCTTCCCCAGACATCACTCCCATCTCTAAATTTATTCTCACACTCCTGAGGCATGCCTGACCTGTTCCCTGAGCTAAGGAGCTCAAACTGTTGATTGCCTTATCTTGCCAAACCCAGCTCCTGCATCACCAGCATCTCCATAGGAACGCTGCCTCTTGATCTGCAGGAAGCATTTTCTTTTATTTTTTTAATGCCCTGTTCAGGAACGTTACACAATTCTGTTTCCACAACAGGGAGGGAGTAATAAATATGGCCATAATGCTGGATTTGAGATATCCTTCATTAACCATTTTTAAAATATCCCTTTGCCCTGAAATGGTTGTTTTGCCCTTGGCCTTTGTGGATGAAATCTCCCATGAAAATCCAAACCAAGAGACAGAAAATCCTGGCCTTGGATTTAGGGATTATCTGATATTTGCTAGATTTTATGCCAACTGTGTTAATCAGCAATGGCAAGGCAGAATAATAATAAAAAAAATTTAAAAAAAAACCCCTAAAAACTGTTCATTTTGATTTGCTCATTTGATGATGGATGACTTTGGAGAAGTTTGACCAAGGCACAGAAGGAGATGCAAAAACAGCTGGGGTTGTTCAGTCTGAAAAGGGGAGGAACAGGAGGAGATTTTTTGCTCTCTTCAGTTTCGTGGTGGGAGGTTTTAGGAAGGTTTAAATTTCATGTAAATTATTTTTGTATTCCTGGTTTTAAAGCCACTTTATTTTATTTTTTTGGAAGCCAGCAAACAAACAAATAAAAAACCAAAAAGCCCTCTAACCCTATCTTTATTTCTTCCACAAATTGTCCAAATCACTCCCTTACCAAAAACCCTTGGCATGACAATCGTGGCAGCACCCAAATGAGACAGCTGATTTTAAAAAATGTAAACTTGGCTCGTTTTCCTCTTCATTCTGTACCACAGTCAGGAGGAAATAATCTTCTAACCTCATCCTTGAAGCTGCAGAGAGCACCATGAGTTTGGATTTTCTCTGTTCTTCCCACATCACCATTTACTGAGGCTAACAGGCTGTAAGCTGAGCACCTGACAGACCCAGGGAAAATTATTTTGCCTGCTCCCAAAACTGGAAAAACCATTTTTAGCTAGACAGAAACCCTTCTGACCTGCAGCTGGAATCTCTGGCTGAGTCCACAGAGAAACCTGTCCCAGGTCTCACTGCAGAGCCTGGGATTGAGTTAAATAAAGCAAGAAAAATTCGTAATATTGACAAAACACCGCCCCAAAAACCCAACTTCAGTTTGTTATTTAATGTTCCCTCTTTGATATGAGGCAAATGATCTTTATTGGAGACAACTCAGCTTAGAAGAATTTGGTGGATGTGTAAAAAAATGCTGAAACCCCATTCTTATTCTTATTCTCATTCTTTTATTCTCATTCTTGGTGTGTGTTTTGTTCCTATTGTGTCCTCACAGGATCAACACTTGCACCTCTGATGGGACAATTACAGAAGCAGCACCCAGAAAGCACCAAATAAATCTTTTCTCTCACTGAATTACCATAAATCTAAAAACTATTTCAACTCCGAATATTATTTCAACCCTGAATATCGTCTCATCCAGTGCTTGTTCATGCCTCAGTTACTCACAATTCCCCTTGTCCTGGCTGAAACCAAACCCTAATGGTTCTGGGCCCCAAAACCATCCCAAACCTCAACAGTGTTCTGCCCCAAAACCATCCCAAACCCAGTGGTTCTGGGTCTCAAAACCATCCCAAACCCAGCAGTTTTCTGCCCCAAAACCATCCCAAACCTCAGCGGTTTTCTGCCCCAAAACCATCCCAAACCCAGCGGTTTTCTGCCCCAAAACCATCCCAAACCAAGCGTTTCTGAGCCCCAAAACCATCCCAAACCTCAGTGGTTTTCTGTCCCAAAAACATCCTAAACCTCAGCAGTTTTCTGCCCCAAAACCATCCCAAACCTGTGTGACGGGCCGCGGCGGGCCCCGGCGGCGGCGCCCAGCGAAGATGGCGGTGACCGCGCTCGGTGCCCCCCCCACCCCGGCCCCGCCTCACCGGGACCCCCTCAGGGACCGGCCCCGGTCGCGCATGCGCGGGGCGAGCGCGGGGCGCTTCCGCTTCCTGGACGGCGGGCGGCCCTCAGCGGCACCGGCGGCACCGGGCGGGCCCTCAGCGGCACCGGGCGGCCCGAGCGGGCCCGGAGCGGCACCGGCGCGGCCGCGGAGCCGCCATGGCGCTGGCGCTGAAGATGCTGCCCTGCAAGAAGCGCAGAGCGGCGGCGGCGGGGCCGCCGAGCCCGCGGGAGCGCGGGGAGGACGCGGAGCTGCCCGATGGAGGCGGCTCCGCCAGGCCCGCGGGGAGAGGGCCCGGGGAGGCCTCGCCGAAGAGCGGGAGGAAAACCCCCGGCAGAGCGGCCCCGAGCCCCGGGCAGGAGCTCCCCGCGGGGCCCGGCAGCCCGGCGGCGGCGGAAGGTACCGGGAGGGGCGGGTCTGTGTTTGTTTTGGTTTGGTTTTTATTTTTTCTCCCTCAGGAGGTGTTACAGATTAAAGTGAAAATGAGGTTTTCCCGCTGTTTTCTCATGCCGGGCAGTGTCCAGGCGGGGTTGGGCGGTGGAAGGTGTCCCTGCCGTGGCAGGGCTGGGATGGGATTTGTGTTCCCTCCCCACACGAACCGTTCTGGGATTGTGTGGGAAAGGCTCCCTGGGTGTTTCTTAGCCCCCGTGAGGCCGGGGACTGGAGCATGTCTGTCACAGGGACAGGCTGAGGGAGCTGGGGCTGCTCAGCTGAGAGGGGCCAGCCCTGGGAACCGGGGGGCTCTGGTGGACTCTGAGTGTCCTTGGGTGTCCGTGAGTGTCCCTGGCTGTTCCTGTGTCCCTCTGTCTGTCCCCGTATGTCCCAGTGTGTCCCAGCTCTGCCCAGAGCCACTGGCAAGAGACTGTTTCCAGCAGGATGGAGCTGCTGCTGCCCTGTGCTGATGTTGGTTTGATGTGCTTGATTGGGAAATACAGTGGGAAATAAATTAATTAATATAGGGGGGCTGTTTATAGCAGGATGGAGCTGCATCACACCTGTGCTGATGTTGGTTTGATGTGTTTGAATGGCAAATGCAATGGGAAATGAATAAATTAATTTAGGGGGGCTGTTTCCAGCAGGAGGGGGCTGCTGCTGCCCTGTGCAGCTGCATCACACCTATGGGTGATGTTGGTTTGATGTGTTTGAATGAGAAATGAATGAAAAATTAATTTAGAGGGGCTGTTTCCAGCAGGATGGAGCTGCATCACACCTATGGCTGATGGTGGTTTGATGTGTTTGAATGGCAAATGCAATGGGAAATTAATTTATAAGGTGGAGCACACACTTTGGTGTGTTGTCGTTGCTCTGGTGTGTCTGCCTGCAGCTGGGTGTTCTGTTTGCAGGGAAAATCCCCAAGCTGTACACAGAGGTGGAAGTGAGCTCTCAGAGGGATCTGTATCCAGGTGAAAACCCTGCTGCAGTGCCAGAGTCTCCAGGGAGAAGCTCCCTGCAGGTTTCTGCTGCCAGAAATCCCACCACCATGAAGCCACCAAAGAGCTCCAGAGCTGGTGAGTGCTCCCAGCAGAGTGATGAGGAAAATTTGGGTTTGGGGCTGGTTTGGATGAATCTGACTGATACAGCAAACTCTGGAATTGTGAAGATGGTGGGGGCTGTGTAGGTGCAGGGTTTTTTTTTAATTTTCATCTTGTGCTCCATAATTCAGTGGAACTTGCTGGAGTTGATCTCTGCAGTTTTTGGCTACTAAAAAATCCCTGCTCTGCTTCAGAGAAAATGGAGATTCTTTTCTTTCTCAGAGTCAACAAAGCAGGAAAACACTTTTTAAGTCCTGGAAACTGTTCTTGCTGTGTGGTACCTGGAGTTTACAGCATTATTAAAGGTGTAAAAAGGATGCTGAGGCCATTTTAGAAATCATTCTGGAGGAGGTGGCAGCTGCATGACCTTGATGTGCTCGAGTAACTCAGGCCCTGCAGAACTGGAATCCATCACTCACAAGACTTTGTAGCTCTCGTGGCTGTTTCTGTTTGGGTGCTCTTGCATCAGCTGAGGGAAGTTCTCATGTTTCTGGCAGGAATTTTGCAGGAGAATTTTTGCAAGGAGAACCTTTGCAAGGAGGGTCCTGCAAGGGGAATCTGTGCAAGAAGAATTTTTGCAAGGGGAATCTTTGCATGGAGAGTCTGTGCAAGGAGAACCTTTGCAAGAAAGGTCTTGCAAGAACCTTTGCAAGAAGGGTCTTCCAAGGGGATTATTTGCAAGGAGGGTCCTGCAAGGAGAATCTTGCAAGGAGAATCTGTGCAAGGAGAGTCTTGAAAGGGGAATTTTTGCAGGAATCTTGCAAGGAGAGCCTGTGCAAGCAGAATTTTTTGCAAGAAGTATCTTGCAAGGGGAATCTTTGCAAGGAGAACCTTTGCAAGGGGAGTCTTTGCAAGAAGAATCTTGCAAGGGGAACCTTTGCAAGGAGAACCTGTGCAAGAAGAATCTTGCAAAAGGAATCATTGCAAGGAGAATCTGTGCAAGGAGAGTCTTGCAAGGGGAATCTTTGCAAGTTTTCTGCAGAATTCTGGTTTGTGTTTATTCCAAGCTCATCCTCTCACCACGGGCTGGACGCGAAGCAGCCGAGGTTTTTAGATTCCATTTCTGGTGATTTTCAGAGGAGCAGGACGGGGAGGACGTGGAGAGGAGGAAGAGGAGGAGGAAGGCAACCAAACGCAAGAGAGAAGGGAAAAGCCAGGAAGAAGAGGGCTCCTTGTCCTGTGACATCAAACTGGACGAGTCCCTGGACCGCACCCTGGAGGATGGAGCCAAGCAGCACAACCTGACCGTGGTCAACGTCAGGAACATCCTGCACGTGAGTGGGGCACTGGGCAGGGCTGCTGGCCCTTGGGCTCCTCTGTCTTGCTCAGCAGAATCCTTGCCTGGAGTTCTGGATGCTGAGGAGTTGAGACTTTCTGTGCTGACAGACTCTGGCTCCCAGGAGAGCACTGCATTTGAGCTGAGGCCGTGGAGAAGGCTTCCAAAATCGAGTGATGGCACTGGGGTTGTGGGTGTGGAGTTTGATTAGAAGGGTGGAATGTCACAGGGGGGAAACTTAGGGTTTGGGGTTTTAGAATATAGACATAAATATGAAGCAAGATGGAGGGTTTAGGGTGGAGGCTGGTTCTTCTTCTGGTTCCTTCTTCTCCTTCTGGTTCCTTCTTCTCTTTCTGGTTCCTTCTGGTTCTTTCTTCTTCTCCTTCTGGTTCTTTCTGGTTCTTTCTTCTTCTCCTTCTGGTTCTTTCTTCTTCTTCTGGTTCTTTCTTCTCCTTCTGATTCTTTCTTCTCCTTCTCCTCTTTCTGGTTCCTTCTCCTCCTTCTGGTTCTTTCTTCTGGTTCTCCTTCTTCTTCTTCCTCCCCTTCTCCTTCTCCATGGGTTTGGGTGGTATTTTGTAATTGGACAGAAAAGTCCACCCTGTGGACTTTGAGTGATCAGTTATTGGCTTAAAAGTGAAAATAATGTAGGTGTCATCCCTTAACTGGATAGTTGAGCCTTAAAAGACCTTGTAACAAGAGCTAGTTAACCATTTTGTGCCTGGTTGATGAAAGGCTGCAGAACTGACAGCTGTGAGACTGTAACACAGGTAAAAAATAATAAACACCCGAGTCTGAGCATGAAATACCATCTCAAGTGCTCAACAGAGGCAGCAAAAGGAAGCCAAAAAAGCCCCCCACATCCTGATCCCTGCCAATAAACCTGTCCAGAGGGAATCCAGTGACTGAACCTGTGAGGCTGGGGGCTGCTGGTGTCCCTGCCACCCACCTGGAGCCTGCTTTGCCTGCAGCTGTTGGGCCTCTCCTGCTTTTCCTGAGCAGCTGCAGCAGGAATAACTGAATTGAAATGATCCTCCTGGGCCCACGTGAGCAGGTGTAGGCTGTGAGCTCTGTTTCCTTTTTTGAACGAGCTGTTTCCTCATGAAATTCTGGTGGAATTCTAGTGGTGCTGACAGAAATGCATCACTCTGAGTTAATGTCCATCACACAAACCTCAGAGAGGAGCTGCCAGCAGAATATTTGTGCTGTCACGGCTTTGGAGTGAATCTCTAACTCTGCACCTCTCTTGAGTCTTTTCAGTTCATCCCAAAATATGATCTGGAGAGCAATAGTATTTATCAAAAATCAAAATTTTCTTTTCCCTGCAGCCAGAACTGTTCAAATCCAGGTAATCTCAGACACTTTCCCTTTTTGTGGCAGACAGCCTGGGCACTTCCATGGCTCTTCCAGGCAGATTCACCAGTGGATTCTGTGCAAGTGCCCCAAATTAATTAATTTCTCTGTCATGTGCTGCTGGGGGGGGGACTGGAGGTCCCTCAGAGCCACCTGCCTTCCCTGGAGCCTCGTGGGGCAAGCAGAAAATGGGATTGGATTCTCTCCTGCCTTCCCCTGTTCCTCCCAAATTTTCTGGAATGCAGCAGTGAAATGTTTTAAAGACTGGATATTATTCCAGACTTCCTCCAGAGATTCACATATTCCATACTGGAAAGTGTTCCAGAGGTTTACATATTCCATACTGGATATTATTCCAGACTTTCTCCAGGGGTTCACATATTCCATACTGGATATCATTCCATACTTCCTCCATAAATTCACACATTCCACACTGGATATCATTCCAGACTTTCTCCATAGATTCACATAATTCATACTGGATATCATTCCAGACTTTCTCCATAGATTCACATAATTCATACTGGATATTATTCCAGACTTCCTCCATAGATTCACATAATTCATACTGGATATTATTCCATACTTTCTCCATAGATTCACATAATCCATACTGGATATTATTCCAGACTTTCTCCATAGATTCACATAATTCATACTGGATATCATTCCAGACTTTCTCCATAGATTCACACATTCCACACTGGATATTATTCCAGACTTCCTCCAGAGATTCACATAATTCATACTGGATATTATTCCAGACTTCCTCCATAGATTCACATAATTCATACTGGATATTATTCCAGACTTTCTCCATAGATTCACATATTCCATACTGGATATCATTCCATATTTTCTCCATAGATTCACACATTCCACACTGGATATTATTCCAGACTTCCTCCAGAGATTCACATAATTCATACTGGATATTATTCCATACTTCCTCCAGAGATTCACATACTCCACACTGAAAAGTATTCCAGACTTTCTCCGTAGATTCACATATTCCACATTGGAAATTATTCCAGACTTTTTCCATAGATTCACATATTCCACACTGGAAAGCATCCAGACTTTCTCCAGAGATTTGGGAGCCTGTGAGTGCTGAAAGATTGGAGTGTAATCAAGATTGAGGTTTTCTCTTGCAGCTCCACAGCAGCATTCCTCCTGTGGCTGGGATCAGCACATTTGACTGGTTACTGATACCAGGGAAACTGGTCTGGGCTTTTGTTTTGATTATTTTCTTTCTCCCTGCTGGGAAGCATTCACAGAGAATGTGGTGCAAATGTTTGAATCACTGCTGTGATTTAGATTTTAAATTACTTAATTTATTTACATTAAAACAATAATTAATGAATTTATTTTAAAATGAATTAATTTAAATTTTACTGTCTGATCTCTGAACAATCATTTTCCTGCAGTGTAATTACAAAGCCTGTTGTACACTGAGTGTTTCCCCATCGTATTTCCAGGTAGTTTATTCCAACATTTGTTGTTTTGTCTGTTTCTCTTTGCTAAACATCCTGGTTTTGTGTGTTCCTTTAGGAGGTGATCACAAATGAACACGTGGTGGCCATGGTGAAAGCAGCCATCAGTGAGACAGAAGATATTCCTTTGTTTGTAAGTCAAAATCTTGCTCAAGTTTGTTTTATTTTTGTTGTTCCAAATGCCTTCCTGGGCCATAATGGGAATGTGGGGAGAAGAGGTAGAACAAAAAAGGAATTTATAAAATTTATAAAAACTCTTTAGAGTAATTAGGTTTCGTTATCAGATTTGCCACCTGGATGAAGTGAGTAGTAAATTATGAAACAGAAATAGGAGGAGTTATTGCTGAGGTCACACTGGTGATGTCTGAAAGGTAATTAATTTAAAGGCAGTGAATATAAAGGTAATGAATTTTAAAAAAGAGAAAAGCTTCATAGTAAGCTAAACTTTACTCATGGTAACTTTACTAACAGTGAAGAGCTGCTGGGGAAAAGCCTGTCCTTAAGGAAAGGACTGAATTTAATGCTGTTATTTTGTTTTCAGGAGCCCAAAATGACTCGTTCCAAGCTGAAAGAGGTGGTGGAGAAAGGAGGGGTGAGTAAATCTGCTCTGAGTGCCAGGGCCAGCACCCAGGGCAGGGCTGGAGCTGTGCAGGGAGCTTTGGGCTGGGTGCAGGGAAGGTTCTTCACCAGAGGAGCCCAGGGAGCTTTGGGCTGGGTGCAGGGAAGGTTCTTCACCAGAGGAGCCCAGTTTTTTTCTTTTTTTTTTTTTTTTTTTTTTTTTTTTTTTTTTTTTTTCTGGATTTTTTCTGGATTTTTTTCCCCTAGGCTTTTTTCCCCCTTGCTTTCCTTTGCCAGTCTTTCAGTAATTTATTTCTTTGCTTTCTTCAGGATTTCCTTTCTGAGCTTCAGGGTGTTTCCTCCTTTTGAAACACTTGCTCTGACTGTGCTCACCCTCTTTCTCCTGTGTGCAGCCCCCTCAGTTTGTGGACATCCCTCTGGAGGAAGATGATTCCTCTGATGAAGAATACCAGCCTGATGATGAAGAGGAGGATGAGACTGCAGAAGAGGTAAATCCAGTTTGTGTCTTCTGTGTCTGGGGCAGCAAAACACCATTTATTTTAACACACGGACACTTGTAAATCCTCCAGCAATCATCCTCCAGTGCTCCACTCGTTTGGCTGGAAGAGAGTCTCTGAAATGTTGTTTGGAGCAGTTGCTGGTTGTGGCAGGATGGTTTTGGAGAGGGTTTTGCACCTCTTGCCCTGCAGAGCTTGCTGGAGAGCGACGTGGAGAGCACAGCTTCTTCTCCTCGTGGAGCCAAGAGGTCCAGGACCAGGCGTTCCTCCGATGAGGAGGGAGGGACCCTCTGTGAGGTAAAGCTGCAGCAAACAGCTCTTCCTATTTATCCATCCAAACCCCCCAAAAAATCAATTCCTGAAGTTGGGGGACATTCCAGCTGCCAGTGGGTTTAGGGTCCCACTGCCACGTTCCCTTGCAGAAGGGCTGACTCTAAAATAAAGCTGTGGGCATGGAAACTGTTGTCAGTTCTTTAGATAATGATTATTTTTCTGGTAATGTCTGAGGAGTGCAGAGCATGGCTTCCTGTGCTTGGCTTAGCAGCAGAAATCAGTTTGATGAAAGCATCAAGGCAGGGGGAGGTGCAGGCCAGGGATCAGCAAAGAAGAATCAGAAACCCCTGGGAAGTGACATGGCATCAAAACCAGCAATATTTTACTGATATTTCCACATCCTGCTCACCATCAGTTTGTTTCTGGGAGGATTCTGCCACAATAATTGGTGTTCAGCTTTATCAACTCTGATAATGCTGAGATTGATACTCAGATCTTCCAAATGTCTCCAGAAAATCTTCATATTTCTTTGTACTTCCTGAAAAGCAAAGTGATTAGGATGTGATGTAATTGTGTGAATTAAAATAAACGTATGAATGTAATTAGGAAAATTCCACATCCTTCTGGGAAGCATTTCTCCCATTTCTGACCACTCAAGAGACCAACTCTCCCATTTCTCCCCAAGCAGAAAACCAAATTCACTCTGTCCTTGGAATGACCTGTCCAGAATAAAACCTTTTAACCTTTTTCCTCAGCAGGAGAAGGTCACCCCTCCTGTTGTTAGACACATCAGTGCAGAAGTGGTTCCCATGGGACCCCCACCACCCCCCAAGCCCCCGCAGAGCAAGGACAGCACCTTCATGGAGAAGCTGCACGCCGTGGATGAGGAGCTGGCCTCCAGCCCTGTCTGCATGGACTCCTACCAGGTGCTGCTGCCTTTCCTGGGGACAGTTTTATGGAGAGGAGGGGAATTTCTGGGGTTTTCAGGTGGTTTTTGTTTTTCTTTTTAATTTTTTTTTCTTCTGGGCTTTTTTTCTCTTTTTTTCTGGGACATTCTGGGCTTTTTTCCTGGGATGTTCTGAGCTTTTTTTCTGGGACGTTCTGGGGTTTTTTTTCTGGGATGTTCTGGGTTTTTTTGCTGGGATGTTCTGGGTTTTTTTCCTGGGATGTTCTGGGGTTTTTCCTGGGACATTCTGAGCTTTTTTTCTGGGACGTTCTGGGGTTTTTGCTGGGATGTTCTGGGTTTTTTCCTGCGACATTCTGGGCTTTTTCTGTGACTTTCTGGAGGGACGTTCTGGGCTTTTTCCTGGGACTTTCTGGGCTTTTTCCTGCAACATTCTGGGCTTTTTCCTGGGACTTTCTGGGCTTTTTCCTGGGACTTTCTGGGCTTTTTCCTGGGACTTTCTGGGGTTTGTTCTGGGCTGTTTCCTGGGACGTTCTGGGCTTTTTCCTGGGACGTTCTGGGCTTTTCCTAGGACTTTCTGGGCTTTTTCCTGGGCCCTTCTGCGAGGGCTATCTCGTTTTTCCCCGGGCCGTTCTGGTGTTTCCCCCGGTGTTCCCTCTCTGACCTTCTGCTGCCGCTTTGTCCTTTTCCCTACACTGACCATGCCAGGAACGCTGCTTTTTCCCTGCAGCCCCTGGAGGACAGCCTGATTGCCTTCAGGACCCGCTCCAAGAGGCCCCTGAAGGACGTGCCCCTGGGGCAGCTGGAGGCCGAGCTGCGCGCGCCCGACATCACCCCCGACATGTACGAGCCCAGCGCGGGCGACGACGAGCACTGGGCCAGGTGGCTCAGGGGGCTCATGGATGATGATGTGGACAACGAAGGTACCTGCTCTGGAAAGCCCCGCTTCGTTTGGGTTCAAATTGCCACCTCCAGGCTTTGTTTCAGTTGGGTTTGGGGTTTTTTTTTGGAATTTTTTGATCTTTGGTTAATCGCGTCCAGGCTTTGTTTAGAAGCGTCCGGGGATGGTGGCTGCACCACCTGCCTGGGCAGACAATTCCAGAATTTTCTTTCCATCAAAAACTTTCTCTTAATGTCCAGCCTAAATTTCCTTTGTTTTAAATAAGACCACTGCCTCCCTGGGCAGACAATTCCAGAATTTTCTTTCCATCAAAAACTTTCTCTTAATGTCCAGCCTAAATTTCCTTTGTTTTAAATAAGACCACTGCCAGCAATTTTCCAAGAACTTGCTGGGAGTGATGAGGTCACCCCTGAGTCTCCTTTCCTCCAGGCTAAACACCCCCAGCTGCCTCAGTTGTTCTTTAATTTTAATTATTATTTATTATTCATTATTAATTAATTATTAAATTTGCATTGTTCTATTGATTTCAAGGATGGATTTCTCATGATCCCACTCAAAACCCTTGAACATAATTTCTCATGATTCTTCTTATGATTAAACAACAATTACATCTAATTACTAAGCAATCATCCCATCTAACAATTAAATAATTTATCATATTCTGGTTCCACAGGTGCAGTCTCACATGACCTGGCAAACCCAAGCCCTAACATTTCCCAGGGCCTACTCAGCCTAAATTTCTTTCTAGCTCCCCAAATTTGATTTTAGAAACATTTTATCCCTGTACTATCAGCAGGACTTGTGTTCCCAGGTTCCTTCCCACCCAAACCATTCCCTGATTGTTTGTTGAAAGCCTGGAGCTTTGTTTTTTTATTTATACATGATATTTTTGTCTGCAACCATTCATTTTTTAATCCCCTGCATTAGTCCTGCAATCAGTTTTCCTCATCTTCCCCTTTGTTTAAACTTCAGGTGTCTCACTTGTAAATATTTGTGTAATATCTGACATATAAATATTTATGTAATATCCTGTAAATATGAAATTTTGTTGTTTTTTTTAAATTTATATGTGATATTTTTGTCTGCAGGCATTCAGTTTTTAATCCCCTACATGAGTCTTGCAATCATCTTTCCTCATTTTCCCCTTTGTTTAAACTTCAGGAGTCTCACTTGTAAATATTTGTGTAATATCCTGTAAATATGAAGCTTTTTTTTTTATTTATACATGATATTTTTGTCTGCAGCCATTCAGTTTTTAATCCCCTACATGAGTCCTGCAATCAATTTTCCTCTTCTTCCCCTTTGTTTAAACTTCAGGTGTCTCACTTGTAAATATTTATGCAAATATCCTGTAAATATGAAATTTTGGGGTTTTTTATTTATACATTTTATTTTTGTCTATAACCATTAATATTTAATCCCCTGCATTAGACTTGCAATCAATTTTTCTCCTCTTGCCCTTTGTTTAAACTTCAGGTGTCTCACTTGCAGATATTTATGCAATATCCTGTAAATATGACAAAAACTGGCACCCAAAAGGGCAGTGGTGGGTTTAACCCCTGATGCACCTCAGTCCCAGTGTGCTGTACTCCTTGTTGGGCCACATTCACTTTTTGGGGTTTTTTTTAGGGGTAGAAACAGTTATTTTATTGTTGAGAAGAAACAGGAGCAAGCTCTGTGGCCTGGCCTCTTTTCCCCTGCATTTCCTGCTTGCTCAAGTTGTGCAGATTGAATATAAACCAGAAACTGAAACGCCAGCAGTGAACTCTTCCTAAATTCAGCAGAAACTCGGATGCCAGAGGCTCAAGAATGGGAATGGCTGCAGCCCAGGCTCCTGGCAGCTCCCTTGAGAGCAGCAAGGCTTTGCTGTTGCTTCCATGAATCCATTTCCCATTTCCAGCAGCAATCCCAGCCCTGCCAGTGACTCTGAACAAGCCTGTGCTCCTGCCTTGCTGCTGGGGCAGGGTGCTGGCCAGACCTCCTCAAAGGCTGCTCCTTTGTAGATGAAGCTGATGATGATGATGACCCTGAGTACAATTTCCTGGAAGATCTGGATGAGCCAGACACTGAAGATTTCAGGAATGACCGTGCTGTGAGGATCACCAGTAAGTTCCCCTCCTGCTGGCAGCAGTAATTCCTTGGGAAATGTTTTCTTGCAAGGATTTTTTTTTGCAGTGTAGGATATTAAATAAAAATCTCCATGCTGCTTTGATCAGCTTTTGGGAGTGCCTGGAAGGATCTGGGCTGAGCTGCTGTGCCTGAAGCGCAATATTTAGGTGACAACAAAACCTGAAATGAGGTTTTATTTCTCCCAGGAGATGAGCAGAGAGCCTGGATCTGCTGGGTGAGGGATCAAAACTCTGCAGGAGCTGGGCAGAGATTGTCCCACCTCAGTGGCTGCCCCTCCTCACTCTGCTGGTGGCTGGAGGATGCAGCATCACAGCAGAAAAATTCAATTTTCTTTGTGTGGCAAGGCTCCCTTGCTGCCCTGACATTGTTGGAGATGCTTGGGGAGCTGCTTGCTCCAAGTGTGTCACCTTCTGAAAGCTTCAGGCACTCCAGACTTGAATGCTTGCCTTGTGATTGAATTTAATTAGATTTTTGAAGTCCTCACAGCTTGGTTTTATAAACATGTCATTTTCTGTCTCTGCAAAAAGCCACACTTGCTTTAGGTCTTACTGCAGATTTACATAACTTTAAATTTAATCATGAAAACGAGTTTTTATGTGATATTTTAGAACCCAGACAATCTCAGCTCAAGTTATTTTTGGGCCCAACATTAAAAAAGGAATTATCAGGGGCTTTTCTTTTTTGGTTCCCTGTTTGCAGGAGGAGGATTTCCCTTTGTGAGAGAAATCCCTTCCCTGACTTGATATCATGACAGGATTGCTGAGTGTTTCTTGAAAAAAAGCTTCTTCATAATAATTTTTAATTTTACTTGCAGAAAAGGAAGTGACTGAGCTGATGGAGGAGCTGTTTGAGACAGTGAGTGATGAACTGAGGGTGGCACTGAAGTGTCACTTGTGACGTGCCACCTGAAGGGTGGCTCAGGGCTGGGGGTGTGCCAGGGGCTCTGCCACACGTGGGGCATTTTCAGCCTTAAAAAGGGAATGTCTGCAGGGATTTCCTGAAGGGAAGATTTGTAGGGATTTCCTGAAAGTCTGTAAGGATTTCCTGAAGGTCTGCAGGGATTTCCTGAGGGTCTGCAGGGATTCCCTGGAGTGAAGATTTGCAGGGATTTCCTCAAGTGAAGATTGTAGGGATTTCCTGAAGATCTGTAGGGATTTCCTAAAGTGAAGCTCTGTAGGGTTTTCCTGAGCTGTCTGCAGGGATTTCCTGAAGGGAAGATTTGTAGGGATTTCCTGAAAGTCTGTAAGGATTTCCTGAAGAGCTGTAGGGATTTCCTGAGGGTCTGCAGGGATTTCCTGAAGGGAAGGGCTGTGAAATGAAGATCTGTAGGGATTTCCTGAAGTGAAGATTTGCAGGGATTTCCTGAAGGTCTGTAAGGGTTTCCTGAAGATCTGTAAGGATTTCTTGAAGTGAAGCTCTGTAGGGTTTTCCTGAGCTGTCTGCAGGGATTTCCTATAGTGAAGATCTGTAAGGATTTCTGGTTTCTGTAGGGATTTCCTAAAATGAAGATTTGTAGGGATTTCCTAAAGTTAAGCTCTGCAGGGATTTCCTGGAGTGAAGCTCTGTAGGGATTTCCTCAAGTGAAGATTTGCAGGGATTTCCTGAAGTGAAGCTTGTGCTGAGCAGATCATCATCATCATCATTAGCCAAAGGTAAATTTCTTCCTTGATCTTTCTCCTCCTGACTTGCTCCATGTCTGCTGCCAGTTCCAGGGTGAGATGGGTTTCTCCAGCATGAAAGAGGAAAGGCCAGAAGATGAAGATGCTGTTACAGAACCTCGGCCAAATTTTAACACCCCCCAGGCCCTCAGGTAGGAGAATTTTGGTTTTGTCCTGATTTCTTCTGAGGAAAAGCCTCTGCTTACCTCTGTGGCAGCACCAAAGAGAAAAACTGTCCTGGCAGCTGTTCTGAAAGCTCTGAGCCATTTTTCTTCGTGGGATTGGACAATTCAGTTGATTCTTTTTATTCTGTTTGCCACTGTTTGCTTTGCTGCTTGTCACCTGAAAATCTGCTTGCACCTGAAAATGAAAAGCAATGAAAAAAGGACAGAAAGAGCAAAAATGCCTGCACTGAGGTTGGTGCTGTTCTTTGTTTCAGCTGAAAATACAGATGTGTGAATGTGCCCCAAAAAGCAGCATCTGCAGGGGGGAATTCTGTCCCTGCTTCCCCAAACTCTGTGCTCTGTAATCATGGAATGGATTGGGTTGGAATGGAGATGAAAACTCCTCTTATTCCACCTCTGCCATGGCAGGGACACCAAACCCTGTCCAGCCTGGCCTTGGGCACTGCCAGGGATGGGCAGCCTGTGCCTGGGTCTTTCCACCCTCACAGGGATCAATTGCTGCCCAAAAATCTAATTTACATCTCTCATTTTCTAATTGAAACCCATTCCTGTGTCCTCTCACGATGTGAAGTTGTCCCTGGCAGTGCTCAGTGGGCAGGAGGTGACACAAATGAGGGGTGATTCTCCCAGGAGATGAGCAGGGAGCCTGGATCTGCTGGGTGAGTGATCAAAACTCTGCAGGAGCTGGGCAGGATTAAAACTCCTCTTATTCCACCTCTGCCATGGCAGGGACACCAAACCCTGTCCAGCCTGGCCTTGGGCACTGCCAGGGATGGGCAGCCTGTGCCTGGGTCTTTCCACCCTCACAGGGATCAATTGCTGCCCAAAAATCTAATTTACATCTCTCATTTTCTAATTGAAACCCATTCCTGTGTCCTCTCACGATGTGAAGTTGTCCCTGGCAGTGCTCAGTGGGCAGGAGGTGACACAAATGAGGGGTGATTCTCCCAGGAGATGAGCAGGGAGCCTGGATCTGCTGGGTGAGGGATCAAAACTCTGCAGGAGCTGGGCAGAGATTGTCCCACCTCAGTGGCTGCCCCTCCTCACTCTGCTGGTGGCTGGAGGATGCAGCATCACAGCAGAAAAATTCAATTTTCTTTGTGTGGCAAGGCTCCCTTGCTGCCCTGACATTGTTGGAGATGCTTGGGGAGCTGCTTGCTCCAAGTGTGTCACCTTCTCTTCTATTTAATTAAATAATTCAACACCTGGGGTGTGTGTGGGCCGTTCTTAAGGAAAATTCTTGCCTGGGAATGTTTCCTGTCTGGGAAGTTTGGATTGTTATTTTTGGGTTTATACATGGCAGCAGCTCAAAGAGGAAAGGGATAAAGCAGCTCCATCCCTGGAGGTGCCCAAGGCCAGGCTGGACACCTGGGATGGTGGAAAATGTCCCTGCTCTTGGCACTGGGTGAATTTTAAAGTATTTTAACCCAAACCACTCCATGGTTTTTGTGGTTCTGTGAGCACATTGACCCCATCAAAAATCCCCTTGCACCTAAACTGGGACGGGGTGAGGAGCTGAAACTCCTGAGCTAAATAATCTTTGGATGCTTGGGATTAAACACACCAAAACATTTCCCAGAGCAGCTGGGGCTGCCCCTGGGAGTGTCCAAGGCCAGACTGGACAGGTTGGAGCACCCTGGGATGGTGGAAAATGTCCTGGCTTGTGGGACTGGATGAGTTTTAAAATCTGTTTCAACCCAAACCATTGCATGGCTCTGTGAGAGCACTGCCCAAAAATCCCCTTGCACCTGAACTGGGGGGTGAGGATCTAACTCCTGACTCCTGAGCTCACCAAATTTAGATATTTGGGATTCAATAAATTGAAACACAATTCCCAGAGCAGCTGGGGCTGCCCTGCATCCCTGGCAGTGCTGGACAGGGCTTGGAGCTTGGAGACCCTGGGATGGTGGAAGGTGTCCCTGCCATGGCAGAGGATGGCATGAGATGAATTTTCAGGCTCCTGCAGCCCAAACCATTCCATAATTCTGTGGTTTCTCTCAGGTTGCAGAGCAGCTGGCTCCTGCTTCGTGGGGCAGATCAGCTCGAGGTGCAGCTGAGTCTGTTTGGGAAGGAGCTGAAATCAAAGCTGGGCTTTGTGGAGCTCCCTCTGGGCTGAGCAGTGCCAGAGGGGAGCAGCAGCTCTAAAACCAGCCACAGTCTGAAACCCAGGCACCTTTGTGCTTTATTTCCACTCATCTGCCTTTGATAATATTGGCTTTATTAATTCTGTTTGGTGGGTCACTTCTCTCAGTGGTTTCTTCCCTGGTTTTATCTGTGTGCAGGATTCTTTAAGGAAAAAAAAAATCATTATTTGCTGGATTTATTGTTGGTTTTATGATACCTTGAATTAGGAGCAGCATGGAACAATTCTCAGGGCTGGTGCAGAAGGGAAGCTGATCACCAGCAGAAACCAGATCAACTGGTACAGCTAAAATAAATCACATAAAATCAAATCAAATAATGAATAAGAATGAAATAATGAGCTGCTACAGGAGCAGCTCTTACTGCAGGATCTCTGTAGAGTTCTCAGCATCAGGCTGGGTAATAATTAATTAATTTTTAAATAAAGTAACCTCAGGGTTGGTACAGAAGGGAAGCTGATCACCAGCAGAAACCAGATCAACTGGTACAGCTAAAATTAATAAAATCAAATAAAGTAATGAATAATAATGAAATCATTAATTCCTTCTGCTCTTACTGCAGGATCTCTGTAGAGTTCTCAGCATCAGGCTGGGTAATACTTTATTTAAAAATTAATTAATTAACCTCAGGTCTGGTACAGCTGATCACCAGCAGGATTCAGGAGATTAACTGGTACAGCTGAAATAAATCAAATAAAATAATTAATAAGAATGAAATCATGAACTCCTGCTCTTACTGCAGGATCTCTGTAGAGTTCTCAGCATCAGGCTGGGTAATAATTAATTAATTTTTAAATAAAGTAACCTCAGGGTTGGTACAGAAGGGAAGCTGATCACCAGCAGAAACCAGATCAACTGGTACAGCTAAAATTAATAAAATCAAATCAAATAATGAATAATAATCATGAGTTCCTTCTGCTCTTTCTGTAGGATCTCTGTAGAGTTCTCAGCATAGTACTGGGTAATAATTAATTAATAAAGTAACCTCAGGCCTGGTACAGCTGATCACCAGCAGAATTCAGGTGAACTGGTACAGCTGAAATAAATCAAATAATTAATAGTGAAATCATGAACTCCTGCTCTTACTGCAGGATCTCTGTAGAGTTCTCAGCATAAAGCTGGGAAATAAATATTTAAAATAATTCAAGAATAAAATTATAATTAAATATAAAAAGAATTATATAACATAAAACTATAATTAAATATTTTAAAACGTAAATATTTTAATTTTTTTCAATATTTTAAATTAATTTTTTAATAAAGTAGCAGGATTTGAGGCAATGTGTGGTCTTTGTGGAGACCTTCCAGCTGGAGTTATTGTTGAGTAGTACAGGGATGGCAAAACCAAACTGTGCAAACCAGACAGGGAGTAGAATAAATAAACAATATTAAAGCAATAAATAAACAATAAATTAAAAAAATTAATTAAAAATGTTCTAAATAAAAATAAATTAGCAAACAGTGTTCTAAATAAATCAATAAACAGTGTTCTAAATAAATAAAAAATGTTATAATAAATAAAAATAAGGTGTTCTAAATAAATAAAAATAAAATAATAAGCAGTGTTCTAAATAAATAAAAATAGAGTTCTAAATAAATAAAAATAAATAGTGTTCTAAGTAAATAAAAAAATAAACTGTTCTAAATAAATAAAAATGTTATAAATAAACCTGAATGTATTTAGAACATAGTGTTCTAAATAAATAAAAATAAAGTGTTCTAAATAAATAAAAATAAATAGAGTTCTAAATAAATAAAAATAGAGTTCTAAATAAATAAAAATAAATAGTGTTCTAAGTAAATAAAAAAATAAACTGTTCTAAATAAATAAAAATGTTATAAATAAACCTGAATGTATTTAGAACACGAATGTCCTAAACAAACATTATCAAATCAGAGATTTATTACATTTTTGTAATTTTTTTTGTTCTGTATCACATTTTTCTTCCATTTCCCACCAGATTTGAGGAGCCTCTGGCCAATTTGCTGAACAAGCAGCACCAGACAGTGAAGGAACAGCTGGAGCAGCTGAGAATTAAAAAATCTTCAATCAAAGCCCCCCAGGAGGCTGAAAAATCCAAATCCCAAAATGAAAAACCCCTGCAGAGCCTTGTCCTGGACAGTGCCCAAAGGAAGAGGCTCCAGCAGCAAATGCAGCAGGTAATTAATGTTTTATGCTGCAAAAATCCAATTTTTATCCATTTTATTGCTGTCTGAGGATATTGTTCTTGGTCTAGCTTGAATTCTTTTTGTTTTTTTTCTTCCTGCCACCACGTAAATCTGTAGAAATTCAGAAATCTGAGAGCTGAAATCACTGTTGCTGAAGAAATAATTATGTGTTTATGCAGGAAAAAATGAATTTCTGTGTTGGTCGTGATGAGTTTGGCACAAAAAGTGAGAAATTGCTCAAAGATTCCAACAGCTGATGCCTTCAAAATTTGGTTAATAAACTTTCTGCAAGTGGATATTGAAGTTTCCCCTCAGTTTTCTGTTGCTTTTAAGATTTTTTTGCTCAGGAAATATTTCTTGTGCCTTTATGCTTGTGCTTTCCAGTTCTTTGGATTTGTGATAAAGTGAAAAAAATCCTAAATTTGTCTGGTTTTATTCCTCAAGCACGTCCAGCTCCTGACTCAAATCCATCTCCTGGCAAGCTTCAACCCTGCTCTGAGTTCAGAGGCCAACACCACCCAGATGTTTTTGGTAAGGAATGCCCCAAATCAGCCAGAAATTCAAATTATTGCTGCTCCCTGGGCAAACACAGAAAGATTCATTTATTTATCATTTATTCACTTAGGAAAATGAATTATTTTATTTATCCCATTAGAGTGAGAAGTAAAGTTCTGGAAAAAATGCTTAATTTTCAGTTTAATGGGATAAATATTGGGATGGATAATGGATTTAATGGGATAACTATTGGCCTGGGCAAACTGAGAAGTTATTAATTTATTTATCATTTATTCACTTGGAAAAATTATTTTATTTATTCCATTAAACTGAGGACTAAAGTTCTGGAAAGGAACATTTATTTTCAGTTTAATGGGATGGATAATGGGTTTAAGGGGATAACTATTGGCCTGGGCAAACTGAGAAGTTATTAATTTATTTATCATTTATTCACTTAGGAAAATGAATTATTTTATTTATCCCATTAAACTGAGAACTAAAGTTTGGAAAAAACTCTTGATTTTCAGTTTAATGGGATAAATATTGGGATGGATAATGGGTTTAATGGGACAAATATTGGAATTCTGGAATTCTGGGAAGTGAAAAATAAAATAAAATGATGGAATGCCAGAGTGGTTTGGGTGGGGAGGGACCTTAAAGCCCAGTTCCACCTGAGTGCAGCACCAGGGACACCTTGCACTGATGAAATAATTCAGTAATCCCCCCAGTTTCCACTGAATTCCAGTAATTAAACAGTTCCACTGTCACGGGGAAAAATGGAAGAGAAGATGGGAAGGGGAAAAAATGGGAAGGGAAAAAATAGAAAAAGAAAAGAAGGGAAGGGGAAAAGATGGGAAGGGGAAAAGATGGAAAAGGAAATGATGGGAAGGGGAATGATGGAAAAGGAAAAGGTGGGAAGGGAAAAGATGGAAAAGGAAAAAATGGAAAGGGAGAAAATGGAAAAGGAAAATCCCATTAGAGTGAGAAGTAAAGTTCTGGAAAAAATGCTTAATTTTCAGTTTAATGGGATAAATATTGGGATGGATAATGGATTTAATGGGATAACTATTGGCCTGGGCAAACTGAGAAGTTATTAATTTATTTATCATTTATTCACTTGGAAAAATTATTTTATTTATTCCATTAAACTGAGGACTAAAGTTCTGGAAAGGAACATTTATTTTCAGTTTAATGGGATGGATAATGGGTTTAATGGGACAAATATTGGAATTCTGGAATTCTGGGAAGTGAAAAATAAAATAAAATGATGGAATGCCAGAGTGGTTTGGGTGGGGAGGGACCTTAAAGCCCAGTTCCACCTGAGTGCAGCACCAGGGACACCTTGCACTGATGAAATAATTCAGTAATCCCCCCAGTTTCCACTGAATTCCAGTAATTAAACAGTTCCACTGTCCCGGGGAAAAATGGAAGAGAAGATGGGAAGGGGAGAAAATGGGAAGGGAAAAAATAGAAAAAGAAAAGAAGGGAAGGGGAAAAGATGGGAAGGGGAAAAGATGGAAAAGGAAATGATGGGAAGGGGAATGATGGAAAAGGAAAAGATGGAAAGGGAGAAAATGGAAAAGATGGGAAGGGAAGAGATGGAAAAGGAAAAGATGGAAAGGGAGAAAATGGAAAGGGGAAAAGATGGAAAAGGAAAAGATGGGAAGGGGAAAGATGGAAAAGGAAAAAATGGAAAGGGAGAAAATGGAAAAGGAAAATATGACAAGGGGAAAAGATGGGAAGGGAAAAGATGGCAAGGGGAAATGATGGAAAAGGAAAAAATGGAAAGTGGAAATGATGGAAAGGGAGAAGAGGAAAGGGAAAAGATGGAAGGGGAAAAGATGGAAAAGGAAAAGGTGGGAAGGGAAAAGATGGAAAAGGAGAAAATGGAAAAGGAAAATATGAGAAGGGAAAAGATGGAAGGGCAAAAGATGGGAAGGGAAAAGATGGAAAGGGGAAAAGATAGAAAAGGAAAGGATGGAAAGAGGAAAAGATGGGAAGGGAAAAGATGGAAAAGGTGGAAAGGGGAGAAGAGGGAAATGGAGAAGAGGGAAGGGGAGAAGATGGGAAAGGAGAAGATGGGAAAGAAGAAGATGGAAAGGGAAGAGATGGAAGGGAAGAGATGGAAAGGGAGAAGATGGGAAAGGAGAAGATGGGAAAGGAAGAGATGGGAAGGGAGAAGATGGGAAGGGAAGAGATGGAAGGGGAGAAGATGGGAAGGGAAGAGATGGGAAGGGAAGAGATGGAAGGGAAGAGATGGAAAGGGAGAAGATGGGAAGGGAAGAGATGGAAGGGGAGAAGATGGGAAAGGAGAAGATGGAAAGGGGAAAGATGGGAAGGGAAGAGATGGAAGGGGAGGAAGATGGGAAAGGGAAGAGATGGAAGGGGAGAAGATGGGAAGGGAAGAGATGGAAGGGGAGAAGATGGGAAGGGAGGACAGTTTCAGCTTTGCTGGTGTGCACCCCGGGTGAAGGCCCAGGAGGGAGGGCGGTCTCTGAGCCCCCCGGGCCGTGCGTGCGCTGCTGGCTCGGGGGAGCATTGCTGATGTGATTTCTGCACCTCTGCTGCCTTTGTGCCTCTGCAGAGCGAGCTGGGCAGCTTTGCCTGCAGCTCCACCCTGCACCAGGCGCCCCAGAACCCCAAATTCCAGACCATGTTCCAGCCCTGCAACTTGCAGGGGGCCCTGCAGCTCCTGGAGGATTTCCATGCCCAGGTGCCCGTGGACTGCAGCCCTAGGAAGGCTGTGAAGAGTGGTAAGGGAGGGGTGGCCTGTTCTCACCCAAAAATGGGGGCTTTAAAGGGTTTTTAGTGGGTTTTCAGTCTCGTGTGAAGGGTGAGGCAGTGCAGCTCTCACAGGTTATAATATGTGTGTATATATTGTATATATATTATAATTGATAATAGATAATATATTATATATATAATACATATTATATATTGTCTATTATATTATATTATATATTGTATTATATATTTTATATATTTATAGAGATATTTATATATATTAATATTTTTATTTTTATAGATAGAGAGAGGTTTTAATTCCTGCCATTCCAACCAGGAGCTAATTATTTCCTAATTACAACATACTAAAAGCCCCTCCTGGCCTCGTGTCCCCCCTGGGCTCATCTGGGGGGGCTCAGATTGGCCTCTTGTTCTTTGCTTTGCTACAGAACAAAAAAAATAGATGGAAGGAGAAAAGAATTTTACCTTTTGGTGATGTAAACTAGGAAATGTGCAAATTGTAAAAGCAGGAGGGAATTCTTATTGTTGCAGTTAAAACAAGCAGTGTTTTCAGGCAGTGAGTTTTGGAAAACCTCCATCCACACACACAGCTGTCCTTCCCCGTGAACTCTTTCCACAGCAAACGAATTCTGCTGTTTGCCAAAGCAAGTGGCCTGGATTTTGGCAACCAGGAAGGTTTTCATGTACCCAGAGCTGCTGCCCATCTGTGCCTTGAGAGCAAACCCTCCCCGAGACAAGATTGTCTTCACCAAGGCAGAGGACAAGTAGGTGCTTTAATTACTGTACAAACTGGGGAGAATTAAGGAGAATTTCTGGGCTGCAGCAGCTCCCTGGGAGCTTTCTCACCTCCTCCCCTCCTTTTTTTCCCTCTGCAGCTTGCTGGCTTTGGGGCTGAAGCATTTTGAAGGGACGGAGTTCCCCAAGCCTCTGATCAGCAAATATCTGCTGCCCACCAAAACTGCCCATCAGCTGGCAGTGAGGATCAAGAACCTGACCATGAACAGGGCCCCCGACAACATCATCAGGGTAAGGGGCTGCTGTGGCCCTGCTCCTCTTCTCCTTCTGGTAAAATGGCATCTTCTGGCAGCAGGGAGGATTTAGCCTTTTATTTGGCTTGATAAAAGCACTTGGGAGGTGTTCAGATACTGATTGGTTCCTTAGAGCCCTGGTAAAACTCAGTGGTCCTGATAAAAATTCATCCAAATCAGCTTTTGAGCAGCAAAATTGAAACAAAAGTTCTGTTTGCAGCCAGCAAAGCAGTATTTAGATGCTGATTTGGCTCTTTAGAATCCAGGTAAAACTCACTGGTCCTGATAAAAATTCATCCAAATCAGCTTTTGAGCAGCAAAATTTCAACAAAAATGTTGTTTGCAGCCAGCAAAGCAGTATTTAGATGCTGATTTGGCTCTTTAGAATCCAGGTAAAACTCACTGGTCCTGATAAAAATTCATCCAAATCAGCTTTTGAGTAGTGAAATTTCAACAAAAATGTTGTTTGCAGCCAGCAAAGCAGTATTTAGATGCTGATTTGGCTCTTTAGAATCCAGGTAAAACTCACTGGTCCTGATAAAAATTCATCCAAATCAGCTTTTGAGCAGCAAAACTGAAACAAAAGTTCCAAAATTTAAACAAAATTTCTGTTTGCAGCCAGCAACAAAACCAGATAAAACAACACCTGCATAAAGCCAGACAAAACTGATCTGGAAAGCTGCCTGAAGCTGTGTGAGAGCAGCCAGGGTGGCAGTGAGCTCCTGCTGAGCCTTGATTATTGATTTTCATGTTCCTGGGGGTGGGACCTGACTAAAGAAGGGTTTTGTTCTCGTGAGCACTGCGGGGAGCCCAGCAGGTGCCCCGAGCACAGTGACCTCGTGTCCTGTCCCCACAGTTCTACAAGAAGACGAAGCAGCTGCCGGTGCTGGTGAAGTGCTGTGAGGAAATCCAGCCCCACGAGTGGAGAGCTCCAGTGGACAGGGAGGAGCATTGCCTGCCCTTCTGGCTGAAGGTATTGCTGCTGCTCTGCGCCCAGGCCTGCGGGTTGCTGCTGTGTGGTTCATTGTTTGGGGGTTTTATTTGGTTTTGTGGGTTTTTTTTTCCCTTGGGGATCTCGTTTTTGTGTGGGTTTTTTTGGAGGTACAGGGATCGTTGCTGTGAGTCAGGGCAGGACTGTGCCCAAGGGAACAACTCAGATGCCATCAAATCCATTTCTCTTGATCACCCCCTGTTGCACAGGGAACTTTCCTTCCTACAAAATCTTGTGTTCACTAAACCAACCTTTATAAAGCAAAAAACCCCACCTTTTTCTCAGGATCTCAGTCTCCTAAAGGCTTTGCAGTGCAACTCATGAGTTTAAAGTGCTATTAAAGTAGTTAAAGGAAATAAATCCTGCTTGAAGAAGGAGGTGGAAGAAGTTAGAAGAAAGAAGCAGGTGGAAGAAGCTCTGTTGCCTTCAGTGCTGCTGTGTGAAGGTGGGAATACAGAAATAACCTGTGATAAAGAATAAATTCCAATAACGAATTCTTGCTCCCTTCAGGCAAGCTTGCCCTCCATCCAGGAAGAGCTGAAGCAGCTGGCAGAAGATGCCAAGGAGACAGCAGCTTCAGCTGATGGAGAATCTGCCCTTTTGGGGCCAGAAAAGGAGACTCCAGGCAGGGCAGGAGATGACAAATACCCTCTGCTGATGCCCAAGGGGCTCGTGCTCACCCTGAAACCTTTGGGCAACCGCTTCTCCAGGAGGGCCTGGAGGAGGCAGAGGTCTTCAGCTCTGAAGCCTGTCCTGATTCGTCCCAGTCCCTGCGTGCAGCCCAGCTCCAGCCCCCTGAGTGTCCCAAAAGCTCAGAAGCTGTCCCAGGCAGAGGCTGCCCCCGGCAGGGTGCGGCTCCGCGTCCCTCGGCCCATCCAGCCCGCGCCGCCGCCCCTCGGCGTGCCGGCCGTGCTGGCAGCTGGGGATGCCCTGGACTTCCAGAGTGTTCTTCCCACCGGCCAGCCAAGCTCCAGACAAGCCTTCCCAGCTGCTGTAGCCCCAGCTGTGGTGTCCTCAGAGCAGGTGACTTTCCAGCCCAAGCTGATGCTGCCGACGGCGGCCGGGATGAAGGCGCGCAAGCCGTGCGTGCGGAAGGGCTACCAGAGGAAAAAAGGGACAAGGTGTGCCCCGGTGATCAAACCTTCCCCTCTGATCCAGCCCTCCCCCGTCATCCTGACCGTCCCTGCCACCACGGTGAAGGTGCTGAACATCGGCAATGGCTGCAACATGATCCAGCCCCTGAACACGGCCGTGGGCCGGGGCGCTCAGGCCATCCCTGTCACGACGCTGCTGGTGAACCCCTCCACCTTCCCCTGCCCCCTGAGCCAGCCCCTGGTGACCTCTTCCATCCCGTCCCTGATCGTCTCTCCCAGCCCCGTTGGTCTGGCTGCTCCTGCTGGGGGTGAAGGGGAGGAGCAGCTGACCCTGCTCCCTGCTCCGGCTGCTTTTCCCAAGGTGGAGCCCAAGGCAGAGCCCCCGGAGCTCTTTGTGCCCTGCTCCAGCCTGTCCCCAAAGGAGGAGTGTGGCACGAGCCCTGCCCTTGGGGACACTGGGGACAAGGGCAACGAGGGTGACTGCTGCAGCTGGGCGCTGGCAGAGGGGGATGGCAGCACAGCAGAGCCTCTGCCGGTGGTGGAGCTCTTGCCTCACTTGGAAGGTCCTGATGAATCGGTGGAAATCAAGTCTGAAGATTCAGGTGATGCTCCCAAAGAAGCCAGCGTGGTGCAGAAAAGAGATCTGTTGTGTGCTGAAAGGAAGGAGGAGTTCCTGCTGGGCCTCGGCCAGGAGCTGAGCGTGGAGGCTGCTTGTTCCTGCGGGGATGAGCCCAAGAAGGAGCACTGTGAGGAGAAGGGAGAGGAGGAGCGCCAGGCTGTGCCCTCCCCTCCCCAGGGGGAGCCCCCAGGCTCCCCAAAACCCCTGCCTTACCCAGCCGAGAGGGAGGCAGAGTTCAGCAGCCCCCCAGGGAGGCCAGAGGACTCCTCCAGCATCGACGGGCAGTCCGTGGGGACCCCAGCTGGCCCCGAGGCTGCAGGGGACAGGGAAGGGCAGGAGGAGGAGGAGGAGGATGATTTTGATGATTTCACACAAGATGAGGATGAGGAGATGTCGTCGGCTTCAGAAGAGTCCGTTCTGTCAGTGCCAGAGCTGCAGGTAAAGATAAAACTTGAATTAAAAAAGGGGCAGCTGTGGGTGTCCTGAAACAGCTGTGGAGTCAGGGACCCTCTGGGGACCCCCCTGGGATCCCCCTGGGAGGGTGGGCTGATTATTCTCTAACAGCCTGAGGAGTCAGGGACCCCCTGGAGACCCCCCTGGGATCCCCCTGGGACCCCCTGGGATCCCCCTGGGAGGGTGGGCTGATTATTCTCTAACAGCCTGAGGAGTCAGGGACCTCCTGGGGACCCCCCTGGCATCCCCCTGGGAACCCCTGGGAGGGTGGGCTGATCACTCTCTAACAGCCTGAGGAGTCAGGGACCCCCTGGAACCCCCTGGAACCCCCTGGGATCCCCCTGGGAGGGTGGGCTGATCACTCTCTAACAGCCTGAGGGGTCAGGGACCCCCTGGGATCCCCCTGGGAGGGTGGGCTGATCACTCTCTAACAGCCTGAGGAGTCAGGGACCCCCTGGAGACCCCCCTGGGAGGGTGGGCTGATTATTCTCTAACAGCCTGAGGAGTCAGGGACCCCCCGGGATCCCCCTGGAATCCCCCTGGGAGGGTGGGCTGATCACTCTAACAGCCCGAGGAGTCAGGGACCCTCTGGGAATTCCCCAGGGAATTCCTCTGGGCATCCCCCGGGAATCCCTTTTGGAATTCCCCTGGGAACCCCCTTGAGAAACCCCCTGGAATCCCCAGGGAAATCCCCTGAGCACCTCCTGGGAACCCCCCTGGGAATCCCCCTGGGAACCCCTGGAACCCTCCAGAACCCCCTGGGCACCCTCTGGGAACCCCCCTGGAACCCCCCTGGGACCCCCCTGGGAATCCCCTGGAATCCCCTGAAAATTCCTCTGGGAACCCCCTGGGACCCACATGGCTGGGAATTCCCCAGGGAATTCCTCTGGGCATCCCCCGGGAATCCCTTTTGGAATTCCCCTGGGAACCCCCTTGAGAAACCCCCTGGAATCCCCTGGAATACCCTGGGCACCCCCCTGGGCACCCCCCTGGGAATCCCTCTGGAAATTCCCCAGGGAAATCCCCTGGGAACCCCCCTGGGAGCCCCTGGAATCCCCTGGGAATCCTCCTGGGAACCTCTGGAACCCTCCGGAACCCTCTGGAACCCCCTGGGCACCCTCTGGGAACCCCCCTGGAACCCCCCTGGGAATCCCCTGGGAATTCCTCTGGGAACCCCCTGGAACCCCCTGGGACCCACATGGGCACCCCCTGGCATCCCCCTGGAAATTCCCCATGGAATCCCCCTGGGCACCCCTGGAACCCCCCCTGGGACCCCCCTGGGAATTCCTCTGGGACCCCCCCGGGCACCCCTGGCAGCCGGGCTGATCTCTCTCTCACAGCCTGCTGCTGTTCTGCTCACACAGAAATCAAAAATCCCATTTTTCCTGGGCACGTTTTAAACCCAGACTAAGAAAATGGCAAATTACTGCAAATTATTGCAAATTATTGCAAATTACTGCAGAACATTGCAAATGTGCAGCTTTAAGCTCTGCAGGCCCTCCTCGGTGGGGCTGCTCTCTGAGAGTGATTTCAGGAACAAGTCACAATTCCAGCAATTTGAGAGCTGAGATCGTTAAGGAATCATTAATTAATCCCTTCCAAATTAAGCCCTGATGCAGATTTAAACTCTTTTGAGCTGCAAGGACTCCTCAGTGAGGTTTCTCTCTGAGAATTATTCCAAATAAAAATGACTTTGCAGGTGAGAATTCCAGCAGTTTGAGAGCTGAGATCATTAAGGAATCATTAATTAATCCCGTCTAAATTAAAGCCTGATCTGCTGAATGGCAGAAGCTGAAATTTAATTTTACAATTTTAGGCAGCTCTGGAAAGGTTTGGATTCTGCTCATTAACAAAATCCTTTAATTGGGCAGGTGCTGATTTATGGAATTGGCTGTGGGAAGCTGCTGGATGATATTAAAGCAAACAAGAAAATGGAATGAAATGAAATGAATAAAGTAAATTAAAATAAAAAATAAAATAAAAAAGAAAAGAAAATAAATAAAATTAATAAAATAAAATATATAAAATAAAGTAAAAGGATTGCAGGTGAGATTTTTGGGGGGTTTTTAGATTGCAGGTGAGATTTTTGGGGGGTTTTGGATTGCAGGTGAGTTCTTGGGGTTTTTTGGACACCAGGTAAATTCTTTGGGGTTATTTTTGGACACCAGGTGAGTGCTTGGGGGTTTTTGAATGTCAGCAGGTGAGATTTTTGGATTGCAGGTGAGTTTTTGGGGTTATTTTTGGACACCAGGTGAGTTCTTGGGGTTTTTTTGAACACCTGGTGAGTTTTTTGGGGTTTTTTTTTTGGACACCAGGTGAGTTCGTTGGGATTTTTGGCCAGCAGATAAATTCTTTAGGATTTTTTGGATGTCAGCAGGTGAGTTCTTGGGGTTTTTTTGGATGCCAGGTGAGTTCTTGGGGTTATTTTTGGGCAGCAGGTGAGTTCTGTGGGGTTTTTGGATTGCAGGTGATTTTTTGGGGTTTTTTTTGGCCAGCAGGTGATCTTTTGGTTTTTTTTTGGCCAGCAGGTGAGTTCTGTGGGGTTTTTTTGGGCAGCAGGTGAGTTCTGTGGGTTTTTTTGGCCAGCAGGTGATTTTTTGGGGTTATTTTTGGGCAGCAGGTGAGTTCTGTGGGGTTTTGGCCACAGCTTGTGGGCATGTGGAGCTGCTCTCTGCAGGGAACCCAGGGCCCTGGGGGTCCTCCCTGGCTTTAATTCCCTGGCTGTTTCTCAGCCAGCTTTTTCCAGCTGGAATTGCAATTCCAGGGCCCAGCACAGCTCTCTTGCACACACATCCATGGTTTGTGCCATGATCATTTTAGAACAACATTAAATACCCAAACCTTGGCCGAGCTGAATTTTGTCTGACAAGATCTGGCTGGGGAAGAGGAAATGAAACAAAAGCCAAGTGCTGAATGAGCTTGAGCAGTGAACTTTGAGCCCATTAAATCAACAGATTCCTAAAAAAAGCCACAAAAACCTGGATGTAGCCCTTCTCAGTGCCCTGTTTAATTCCCTGTTGTGTGACACCAGGTGTTTATCTGTGGTTTGAATTATTATTTGAATAATTATCTGAATTTACTCAGATATTCCGTTCCCCTCCTCCTGGCCGTTCTCCCCTGATGTGTACAGCATATTTTTAACTCCAAAAAAACCTGGGCTGAACCTGTGGATTATTTCCAGTCGGACACTGTAGAAACAAACAGCAAAATTAGGATTTTTTTCCCAGTTTGACCCGTGGGAAGTGACAGAAACCCCTCGCTGACGATGGGAATTCACGCTGGGAATTGCGCGTCATTCACATTTTCCCCAAATTCCGCCCCAATTCCTTTTGGGGTGCCTCTGCCACCAGCTGAGCTCGTGTTCCTCCACAGGAGAGAGCCTGAAAGCCCCGGGGAGGAGCAGGAGCTCGCACAGGACCAGGAGCAAGAGGGGCAGAGCTCGTGGCAGCAAGGACAGCTCCAAGCTGCTGCTGCTCTACGACGAGGACATCCTGGAGAGGGATCCCCTGCGGGAGCAGAAGGACCTGGCCTTTGCCCAGGCCTACCTCACCAGGGTAAGGCAGCCCAAAAACTGCAGAAATTTGGGGTTTTCTGGCGCAGAAACTCGCTTCCCAAAGTTTGGCTGCTGGAGGTGAGGAGGAGGAGAGCGGCTCTTCCTCAGGCTCAGAGTTTTTTAATCTGGGAGTTCTCTTCTTGGTTTAAATCTCTGCTGCAAGCCAAGTCAGATTTTTTGGTTGTCTCCTTAGAAATAACCAAAAAAAATGCCATTGTTTTATTTTATGGTTTGGTTTAAGATCATTCAGCAGATTGCTCACTGCATCCAGATTTCATAAATCAGCACCTGCCCTGCTAAAGGATTTTGGTAATTTAAACCCTAAAATTGTATCTGTGAAATTAAATTTCAGCAGATTCCTCACAGCAGCCAATTCCATAAATCAGCACCTGCCCTGCTAAAGGATTTTGTTAATTCAAACCCCAAAATTGTCCCTGCAAAGTTAAATTCCAGCAGATTGCTGCTGATTTCCAGCTCTGGCTCTTCCTCCTCCCTCCCCTGTGCTAAGAGGGGGAGCTGGAAGTGAAGGATTCAGGGGCTGGGGGTGCTCACAGCAGCAGAACCTCCTGAATTCCTGAATTCCTGACCTTGCCTCCTCTGCTGAGCACCTTTGCTTTATCTGCAGGAAAACAAAACTGCAAATACTGTGTAAATTCTGGGTAGGGGAGATCAAAGATTAGTGGATTAAAAGAATTTAGGGAGAAATTCCTCCCTGGGAAGGTGCTCAGAGCAGCTGTGGCTGCCCAAGGTGAGGCTGGACAGAGCTTGGAGCAACCTGGGATGGTGGAAATTGCCCAAAAAAGCTTGGAATGAGCTGATTTTTGAGATCCCTTCCAGCACAAACACTCTGTGATCAGCTTCTTTCTCCTCCTGGGTGTCACCTGCTGTCCAGTATCCTAAATTAACTCTATGATACTTTTATCCCCAGTTGTCTTATTCTATTCATGCTAAATAATAAGTTTTGCAACTTTAAAACTTATTCCAAAAAGTAAAAAATAAAAATAAAAAGCACAGTTTGTTTTCAGGCACTGCACTCACTCCTCCACATTCCTACTCCTAAACTGTTGTTGTCTGCAAATTAACAAGCAGCAAAACAAAACTCTCCTTGACTTTTAATTAGTTTTAACTAACTGAAGCAAAAAAGTTGCCTGAACTATAATTTTTTCTTTTTTGTTAAACCTTTTCACACCAAAAACCACAAACAACTCTCACCTATAACCCTGGGCCGCAGCTTTCCAACACTAAAAAACTCATAAAAACTTAAGTAAACCAAGCTGCAACCCTGGGAGGGAACTTCTTCCCAGTTTGTCCTCTCTTTTAGAACAACAAAAACTTTTATTGTTGAAGTTTTATTGTTTAAATGTTATTTGTTTAAATAATTTTTTTCCTCCTGAATTCTGCAGGATGGAGCTTCCACCTCTTCCATTCCTCCTGAATTTTTCAGGTTTCACCTCTCCCATTCCTCCTGGATTCTGCAGGATGGAGCTGTCACCTCTTCCATTCTTCCTGAATTTTGGAGGATGGAGCTTTTTCCTCTTCCATTCTGCAGGATGGAAGTTTCACCTCTTCCATTCCTCCTGAATTCTGCAGGATGGAGGTTTAATCTCTTCAATTTTTCCTGAATTTTTCAGGTTTCACCTCTCCCATTCCTCCTGAATTTTGCAGGTTTCACCTCTCCCATTCCCCTGTTTTGTGAGCAAAGCCAAACTATAAATGTTGATTATACAAAGTGGTGTTTCTCTGCCTCTTCCCAATTTTGTGAATGGCATCAACACAATGGAAAACCAAGCCCAGGACAGGAATTTTATTTGTTTAAGTCAATTCCAGATGCTTGGGAACACACTTGAATCTTTTCCATTTTTGAACATGCTTGAATCTCTTTCCTTTTGGGCAGTTTGAGGAGCAGCAAGCCTTTGAGAAGAGCAGGAAGTTCCTCAGGCAGCTGGAGATCTGCTTCGCCGAAAATCCTGCCCACCACCAAAAGATCATCAAAGTCCTGCAGAGCTGTGCAGACTGTGTGCCCCAGGAGATTGCAGAGGTAACAGGGAGCCTTTTCTGCCAGCCAGCCTCCTTCCCTGCCCTGTGCTGTCCCTGTGCTGTCCCTGTCCCCCTGCAGACCACAGGAGCTGGCCCAGCACGTTTTTCATCAATTTCCAATTGAATTAAATCCAATCAAAAAAAGCTGTTGTGATCAAATCCATGCATTGGTTGATCACAGAATGATTGGGGTTGGGAAGGGCCTTAAAGGCCATCTCATTCCACCTCTGTCTGTCTGTCTGTCTGTCTGACACCTCCCTCCAGGCCAGGTTTCTGCAGCTCCCAGCCAGGCCTGGGCTTCAGGGGGATTGCAGAGGCTGCCTGAAATCGAGGTCTCTGAGCCAGCTCTTGTGAGCTCCTGGGGATTTATTTCACACCCAGGGTAGCTCAGCCACCTCAGAAGGCAGAAAATCAGCAGGATGGCTTCTGGGTGGTGTGGGAAACAGAAAGGTTTCAATAAAAGGCAAAATAACAAAACTCTACAGAGAAAAACCGAGCCAGCTGCTCCTGGTAAAACACCCCACGAAAGGATTATTTCCTTTATTCTCTTCTTTTTCTAGTGGATTGCTCAGTCCCCTGCCCAGTTTCCTGTCCTTCAGTTTGAGGTGGATTCCCCAGTCCTGTGAGGTGTCTGAGGAGAGGAACTTGTGGGTTTTTCCCTTTTTAGGGACACAAAGGGAAGTTCTGTCAGTGCATCCCTGCAGCTGCCCAGGCTGGGGCTTCCACCCTGCAGGGGAGGCTGGAACCCACCCGTGAGAGGAGAGACACAGGGGGGGCCCAGGGCCACCTCAGTCCCAATTTAATCCCAATTTAATCCCAATTCAGAACCAATTTAATCCCAATTCAATCCCAATTTAATCTGCTCACAGGTGAGAAACACCAGGGAGGTGCCCAGGGCCACCTCAGTCCCAGATTTATCCCAATTCAATCCAAATTTAATCCAAATTCAATCACAATCCAATCCCGATTTAATCCAAATTCAGTCCCAATTCAATCCCAATTTAATCCAAATTCAATCCCAATTTAATCCCAATTTAATCCAAATTCAGTCCCAATTTAATCCAAATTCAATCCCAATTTAATCCAAATTCAATCCCAATTTAATCTGCTCACAGGTGAGAAACACCAGGGAGGTGCCCACTTCAGTCCCAGATTTATCCCAATTCAGTCCCAATTTAATCCAAATTCAATCCCAGTTTAATCCAAACTTCATCCCATTTTAATTTGCTCACAGGTGAGAAGTATCAGGGGGATGCCCCAGACCCAATTTATTCCCCATTTAATCCAAATTTCATTTGCTCAGAGGTGAGAAATACCCCAGGCCCAATTCAATCCCAATTTAATCCAAATTTAATTTGCTCACAGATAAGAAACACCAGGGAGGTGCCCAGGCCCAATTTAATCCCAATTCAATCCCAACTCAATCCCAATTTATTCCCAATTTAATCCAAATTCAATCCCAGTTTATTCCCAATTCAATCCCAATTTCATTTGCTCACAGGTGAGAAATACCAGGGAGATGCCCCAGCCCAATTTAATCCCAATTTAATCCAAATTTATTCCCAATTTAATCCCAATTCAATCCCAATTCAATCCCAATTTCATTTGCTCACAGGTGAGAAATACCAGGGAGATGCCCCAGCCCAATTTAATCCCAATTAAATCAAATTTAATCCCAGTTTAATCCCAATTCAATCCAAATTTAATCCAAATTTAATCTGCTCACAGGTGAGAAATACCAGGGAGATGCCCCAGCCCAATTTAATCCCAATTTAATCCCAATTTAATCCAAATTTAATCAAATTTAATCCAAATTCAATCCAAATTTCATTTGCTCACAGATGAGGAACACCAGGGAGATGCCCCAGCCCAATTTAACCCAATTTAATCCAAATTTAATCCCAGTTTCATTTGCTCAGAGGAGAGAAATACCAGGGAGGTGTCCCAGACCCAATTTAATTCTGGAATTCTGGAGGAATATCTCCAGCCTAATTTGACTTAATTTCCAGCCTAATTTGATTTAATTTCCAGATTAATTTGATTTAATTTCCAGCCTAATTTGATTTAATTTCCAGATTAATTAGATTTCATTTCCAGCCTAATTTGATTTAATTTCCAGATTAATTTGATTTAATTTCCAGCCTAATTTGGTTTAATATCCAGACTAATTTGATTTAGTTTTCCAATCTAATTTTATTTAATTCCAGATTAATTAGATTTCATTTCCAGCCTAATTTGGTTTAATTTCCAGATTAATTTTATTTAATTTCCAGCCTAATTTGATTTAATTTCCAGATTATTTTATTTAATTTCCAGCCTAATTTGATTTCCAGATTAATTTGATTTAATTTCCACCCTAATTTGGTTTAATTTCCAGATTAATTTTATTTAATTCCCAACCTAATTTGGTTTAATTTCCAGATTAATTTTATTTAATTTCCAGCCTAATTTGATTTAATTTCCAGATTAATTTGATTTAATTCCCAGATTAATTTGATTTAATTTCCATATTAATTTTATTTAATTCCCAGCCTAATTAGATTTAATTTCCATATTAATTTTATCTAATTTCCAGCCTAATTAGATTTAATTTCCAGATTAATTTTATTTAATTTCCATATTAATTAGATTTAATTTCCAGATTAATTTAATTTCCAGATTAATTTGATTTAATTCCCAGCCTAATTAGATTTAATTTCCATATTAATTTTATCTAATTTCCACCCTAATTAGATTTAATTCCCATATTAATTTTATTTAATTCCCAGATTAATTTTATTTAATTCCCATATTAATTTTATTTAATTCCCACCCTGATTTTACCCCTCCCACCCCGAATTTACACCCCCCCCCGCAGCCGCACGGACCGCGGGGCCGGGACACGAAATGATTTCATTTGTCCTGAATTTTCCCCTTTCCAGCTGAAGACCCAGGTGTGGCAGCTCCTGAAGGGCCACGACCACCTGCAGGACGAGTTCTCGGTTTTCTTCGACCACCTCAGGCCCTCTGCCAGCCGCATGGGAGACTTCGAGGAGATCAACTGGACGGAAGAGAAGGACTACGAGGTGCAGGGATCTCCCTAAAACCAAAAATAAACGGCAAAGGCAGGGATAAAAATCACATTTCACCTGCAACAACTCCGTTTGAGAGGGTGAATTCCAGCAGCAGAGGGGCGGGAGAGCAAAACCCTTTGAGTTTTCGAGCTGTGTTTTGATTTTCAGAGGGGGAAAAAACCCAGAAAATTAAAATAAAATTAATTTTTTTTTAAAAATCCTAGAAAATAACAATTTTGTTGTGTGTTTGTCGTGCTGCAGTTTGATGGCTTTGAGGAGGTGTCTCTGCCAGATGTGGAGGAGGAGGATGAGCCACCCAAAATCCACGGAGCCACCAGGAACAAGAGGAGGAAGGAGATGGGAGGCCAGCAGCACGACAAGGTGGGGCTGGGGCAGCTGAAACTGGGGTCAGATTGGGTGAATTTGGGTTAATTGGGGTTAAATTGGGGCTGGGGCAGCTCCCTGGGTGTCTCACCTGGGGGCAGCTGAAACTGGGGTCAGATTGGGTTAATTTGGGTTAAATTTGGGTTAAGTTAGGGTTAAATTGCAATTAAATCTGGTTAAATTTGGGTTAAATTGCAATTAAATGTGGTTAAATTGGGATTAAATTTGGATTAAATTGGGGCTGGGGCAGCTCCCTGGGTGTCTCACCTGTGAGCAAATTAAAATGGGATTAAATTTGGGTTAAATTGGCATTAAATTTGGGTTAAATTGGCATTAAATTTGGGTTAAATTGGCATTAAATTGGGGTTAAATTTGCATTAAATTGGGGTTAAATTTTGATTAAATTTGGGTTCACTTTGGGGTTAAATTGGGTGAATTTGGGTTAATTTGGGGTTAATTTGGGGTTAAATTGGGGCTGGGGCAGCTCCCTGGGTGTCTCACCTGGGGGCAGCTGAAACTGGGGTCAGATTGGGTTAATTTGGGTTAAGTTTGGGTTAAATTGCAATTAAATGTGGTTAAATTTGGATTAAATTTGGATTAAATTGGGGCTGGGGCACCTCCCTGTTGTTTCTCACCTGTGAGCAAATTAAAATGGGATTAAATTTGGGTTAAATTGGGATTAAATTTGGGTTAAATTGGCATTTAATTTGGGTTAAATTGGCATTAAATTGGGGTTCAGTTTGGGGTTAAATTTGGTCTGGGGCATCTCCCTGGAGTTTCTCACTTGTGAGCAGATTAAATTGGGTTAAATTTGAGTTAAATTGGGACTAAATTTGGATTGAATTTGGCCTGAGGCATCTCCCTGGTGTTTCTCATCTCTGAGCAAATGAAATTGGGGTTAAATTTGGGTTAAATTTGGATTAATTTGGGACTAAATTGGGATTAAATTGGGTCTGGGGCACCTCCCTGGTGTTTCTCAGCTGTGAGCAAATTAAATTTGGGTTAGATTTGGATTAAATTTGGGTGAGATTGGGATTAAATTGGGATTAAATGTGGATTGAATTGGGGTGGGGCTGGCTCTGTTGTGCTTTGCTGGCCAGCAGCGCTGCCGTTCTCTGCTGGAGCCCCCATGGCCCCTGTCTGTCTGTCAGTCTGTCAGTCTGTCAGGCAGCTGGGTCTGTCTGTCTCTCAGTCTGTCAGCTGGGTCGGTCTGTCTGTCTGCCTGCCATCCAGCTGGGTCAGTCGTTCTGTCTGTCTGTCTGTCAGCTGGGGTTCTGTCAGTCTGTCAGCCAGCTCGGTCTGTCAGTCTGTCAGGCAGTTGGGTCAGTCAGTCTGTCTGTCTGTCAGGCAGCTGGGTCTGTCTGTCAGTCTGTCTGTCAGCTGGGTCTGTCTGTCTGTCAGTCTGTCTGTCAGTCAGCTGGGGCTCTGTCTGTCAGCTGGGTCTGTCAGTCTGTCTGCCTGCCTGCCATCCAGCTGGGTCAGTCTGTCTGTCAGCTGGGGTTCTGTCAGTCTCTCTGTCAGTCTGTCAGGCAGCTCGGTCTGTCTGTCAGTCAGTCTATCTGTCAGCGGGTCAGTCTGTCTGTCAGTCAGTCCGTCTGTCAGTCAGTCTGTCTGTCTGTGAGTCAGTCAGTCTGTCAGCTGGTTGGTCTGTCACTCTCCCCTCCCCTCCCCTCTCCCCCTCCTCACTTTCTGCCTCCCCTCCCTGCCCTCACAAATGATGGCAATTTTGCTGTTCTGGTTGCTTTGTTGGGTGGATGATGGTGGCATGGCACTATGTGAAAAGATCAATTTCTGTTAATAATAATAATAATCATCATCTTCATCATCATCATCACATAACTATAACAGTAATAACAACATAACAGCAATGTTAATGGTATTAATAACAATTATAATGATAGTAATAACAACAATTATAATGAAAAATTAATTAGAATAAAATATAATAATGATTGTATTAATAGCAATAACAATAAAACCACAATATAAATAAAACAACAGTAACAGTAATAATGGTGTTGATAACAGTGATAATGATAACTATATATACATATATAACATAATTATAACTAAATATAACATAATTATATATAACAACTATAGCAATAATAATGGTGTTAATTACAATGCTAGTAATGATTCTAATAATAAATAAAAATACAATAACTATAACAATAATAATAGTATTAACATTGACAATAATAATGACAACAACAATAATAATTACTAATGATAACGATAATGGTAATAATGATAATATTTGTAATATTAATATTGATAATGATAATATTGATAATAATGCTAATAATGATAATGATATTAATATTATTAATAATAATACAAGTGAAATAATGATAATGATAATAATGATGATAAATTATTAATGATAAATGATGATTAAATTATTTAGAGTTTGTAAAGCAAACCAATGCCAGGTGAGCCCTGGGCAGCCCAGCAGTGGGCACAGGCACAGGTGACTGTGCCTGGGTGTGCAGGTGTGACTGTGCCGTGCCATGCAGTGTGTGACTGTTCCTTGCAGGTGTGTGACTCTGCTGTGCCGTGCTGTGCGGTGTGTGACTGTTCCTTGCAGGTGACTGTGCCTTGCAGGTGACTGTGCTGTGCAGTGCAGTGTGTGACTGTTCCTTGCAGGTGTGTGACTGTGCCTTGCAGGTGACTGTGCCTTGCAGGTGACAGTTCCTTGCAGGTGACCATGCCTTGCAGGTGACTGTGCTGTGCAGTGTGTGACTGTTCCTTGCTGTGCAGTGTGTGACTGTTCCTTGCAGGTGACTGTTCCTTGCAGGTGACCGTGCCTGGCTGGTGACTGTGCTGTGCAGTGTGTGACTGTGCTGTGCAGGTGTGTGACAGCTCCTTGCAGGTGACCGTGCCTGGCCGGTGACTGTTCCTTGCAGGTGACTGTTCCTTGCAGGTGACCGTGCCTGGCTGGTGACTGTGCTGTGCAGTGTGTGACTGTGCTGTGCAGGTGTGTGACAGCTCCTTGCAGGTGACCGTGCCTGGCCGGTGACTGTTCCTTGCAGGTGACTGTTCCTTGCAGGTGACCGTGCCTGGCTGGTGACTGTGCTGTGCAGTGTGTGACTGTGCTGTGCAGGTGTGTGACAGCTCCTTGCAGGTGACCGTGCCTGGCCGGTGACTGTTCCTTCCGTGCTGTGCGGTGTGTGACTGTTCCTTGCAGGTGACTGTGCCTTGCAGGTGACTGTGCTGTGCAGGTGTGTGACTGTTCCTTGCTGTGCAGGTGTGTGACTGTTCCTTGCAGGTGACTGTGCCTTGCAGGTGACTGTGCCATGCTGTGCAGTGTGTGACTGTTCCTTGCCCTGCAGGTGTGCGACGGCCGGCTGTACAAGCACAGGGAGGCCCCGGAGCTGCCTGGCAGCCTGGCCCAGGCGGAGTGCAGCCCCCAGGCCGAGGGCAGGGAGCCCCGGGAGGAGGCAGAGCCCGGGCCGGGCAGGGCCAGGGCTGCGCCCCGGAGCAGGGACCCCGAGTGCCCAGGTGGGTGAGTGAGTGAGTGAGTGGGTGAGTGCTGCTCCTGCCACACCCAGGGGCACAGCCCGGGCTCTCTCTGCTGGTTTGTATTGAGAGATTTCCTTGTGATGGGGAAATGTGTTTGTGTTTTATATGTATATAATATACTGAATATATTAAAAATATATATAATATGTAATATATTATCTATATATTTATTTTTTAATTTAAATGTATATAATATCTCTATATATTTTTTATTTAAATTATATAATATCTCTCTCTATACATTTATATATTGAAATGCACTTGCTGTCAGTGCACGTTCATGGGGCACCGCGAGCGCCCTGTGAGTGAAGCCCCTGTGCAGGGCAGGCTGCAGCTGCTGACAGCTCTCTGTGTCCCGCAGGGTCCCAGGAGGGCAGGCAGCCGTGCAGCAGCCCCTGTGCCCAGCCTGCCCCTGCTGCTGCTGCCCGGCTTCCGGAAGGTTCCGCTGCAGCCGCGGGCTGCGCGCCGCTGCAGGGAGCTGCTCTGGAGCTGCCTCGGGAGTCCAAGGAGTGCCCCTGCCCCGGGGGGGCTGCAGGGGGGCTGCCAGGGGACCTGCTGCTCCCCGCTGTGCCACAGCCTGAGGGGCTGCAGCCTGCTGCAGGGCAGGGCAGGGGCTGCACAGCTGCAGGGGAGCAGGGCAGGGGCTGCAGAGATGCAGCAGAGCAGGGGAGGAGCTGCACAGCTGCAGAGGAGCAGGGCTGGAGCAGCAGCAGAGATGCAGGGGAGCAGGGGAGAAGCAGCAGCAAAGCATTAGCAGAGCAGGGGAGCAGCAAAGCAGCAGCAGGGCAGGGCAGCAGCAGAGATGCAGCAGGGCAGGGGTGCACCTGCAGAGCTGCAGGGGAGCAGCGTTGGAGCAGCAGAGGTGCAGCAGAGCAGGGGAGCAGCAGAGATGCAGCAGAGCAGGGCTGGAGCAGCAAAGCAGCAGGGCAGGGGTGCAGCTGCAGAGCTGCAGGGGAGCAGCGTTGGAGCAGCAGAGGTGCAGCAGAGCAGGGGAGCAGCAGAGATGCAGCAGAGCAAGGGAGCAGCAGCAAAGCAGCAGCAGGGCAGAGCTGCAGCACAGGCTCCCCTGGGCACTGCAGCTTGCAGCCACAGCACAGAGGCTGCACTGGAGCTGCTCCTGAGGGCAGGCCCAGGACCGATGGCAGCAGCAGCAGCAGCAGCAGCAGCTCCCCCCTGCAGCCCCCTGCACCGCTGCAGCCCCGCGCCCCGCGGCACAGGGAGGAGGAGCAGCAGCAGCAGCGGGTGACAGAGGCCACCGTGTGTGCCAAGAACAGCAAAGTCAGCTCCACCGGGGAGAAGGTCGTGCTCTGGACCAGGTACTGCTGCTCCCCTGCCCTTCCTGTGCCCTGCTTGGCTCCAGCTCTTGCTTTTTGTTATTTATTATTATTTATTATTTCTTTTTATTTGCTGTCCTTATTTTGTGACCCTTCCCTCTGGACCTTGCTCTGTCCGTCAGTTTGGCCCCACGAGCTGCTCCTGGCAGGGCTCTTATTGGGGCACTTCAGACTGGGGAAAAACCCTCAAAAGGTTCCTCCAAAAACCCTTAAAACCTTTTGAGAAGGTTCCTCAAAAAAACTTAAAAACTTTTTCAAAAGGTTCCTCAAAAAACCCTTAAAACCTTCTCAGAAGGTTCCTCAAAAAAAAACCTCAGAACCTTCTCAAAAGGTTCCTCAAAAAACCCTTAAAACCTTTTGAGAAGGTTCCTCAAAAAAAAACTTAAAACCTTCTCAGAAGGTTCCTCCAAAAAATCTTAAAACCTTCTCAAAAGGTTCCTCCAAAAAACCCTTAAAACCTTTCCAAAAGGTTCCTCAAAAAAAAACTTAAAACCTTCTCAAAAGGTTCCTCAAAAAACCCTTAAAACTTTCTCAGAAGGTTCCTCAAAGACCCTCAAAACCTTCTCAGAAGGTTCCTCTAAAAAACCCTTAAAACCTTTCCAAAATGTTCCTCAAAGAACCTTTCCAAAAGGTTCCTCAAAAAAAAACTTAAAACCTTCTCAAAAGGTTCCTCAAAAAACCCTTAAAACCTTCTCAGAAGGTTCCTCCAAAAAATCTTAAAACCTTCTCAAAAGGTTCCTCCAAAAAACCCTTAAAACCTTTCCAAAAGGTTCCTCAAAAAAAAACTTAAAACCTTCTCAAAAGGTTCCTCAAAAAACCCTTAAAACCTTCTCAGAAGGTTCCTCCAAAAAATCTTAAAACCTTCTCAAAAGGTTCCTCCAAAAAACCCTTAAAACCTTTCCAAAAGGTTCCTCAAAAAAAAACTTAAAACCTTCTCAAAAGGTTCCTCAAAAAACCCTTAAAACCTTCTCAGAAGGTTCCTCCAAAAAATCTTAAAACCTTCTCAAAAGGTTCCTCCAAAAAACCCTTAAAACCTTTCCAAAAGGTTCCTCAAAAAAAAACTTAAAACCTTCTCAAAAGGTTCCTCAAAAAACCCTTAAAACCTTCTCAGAAGGTTCCTCCAAAAAATCTTAAAACCTTCTCAAAAGGTTCCTCCAAAAAACCCTTAAAACCTTTCCAAAAGGTTCCTCAAAAAAAAACTTAAAACCTTCTCAAAAGGTTCCTCAAAAAACCCTTAAAACCTTCTCAGAAGGTTCCTCCAAAAAATCTTAAAACCTTCTCAAAAGGTTCCTCCAAAAAACCCTTAAAACCTTTCCAAAAGGTTCCTCAAAAAAAAACTTAAAACCTTCTCAGAAGGTTCCTCTAAAAAACCCTTAAAACCTCTTGAGAAGGTTCCTCAAAAAAACCTTAAAACCTTTTCAAAAGGTTCATCAAAAAAACCCTTAAAACCTTCTCAGAATGTTCCTCCAAAAACCCTTAAAACCTTCTCAGAGGGTTCCTCCAAAAACCCTTAAAACCTGCTTCAAAAACCTCCTCCAGGCTGAAGGAGCTGTGCTTGGCGAGGGTTCCTGGGCTGGGCTGGCAGGAGGAGCCTTGCTCAGGGATTGCTGGGGGTGTTGGAGTGTGCTGCTGGTTTTGGGGTGATTTCACAGGGGTTCTGTTGTGCAGGGAGGCTGACAGAGTCATCCTCACCACGTGCCAGGAGAAGGGAGCCCAGCTGGACACCTTCCAGGCCATCTCCCAGAAACTGGGCAACAAGACAGCCAGTGAGGTGAGGGGGCTGGGAGGGAGGGGGTGCTGTCCTGTCAGCCTCCCCACCTTTAATTTGATGAAAAAATCTCAGTTTCAAATTAAAAAAAAAGCAAGCCAAAGTCTGTTCTGATTTGGTGGTGCCAGAAGTGCCCTGGTCCCCCTGGCAGGGCTGATGTTTGGTGTTTGAGCTGCACTTTTGGAGTTGTTTCAGCGGCTGCTACTCAGCCTCTCCTCCTGTCCCAAATCTGCTTTTGGTCTGAATGCTCCCAAAGTGCCAGATTCACCTGGAGAACATCACAGAGAAAACAAACCCCAGGGCTCTTCCTCTGTGCCTCAATCCTGTGTGAAATGCCACCGTGGTATTGATTAATTAATTGATTAATTTTGGTGTTCCAGAGCACCCTGAGCTCTGCCATGTGCAACCCCAGTGCCGTGAGGTCCCTGCTGAGCCTGCATTTCCCTCTCTCAGGTGTCCCACAGGTTCAGGGAGCTGATGAGGCTGTTCCACACCTCCTGTGACGGCAGCTCTGAGGATGAGGAGGATGCCACCAGCACCAGTAACACAGACCAGCTGTCAGACAAAGATCTGCTGCTCTCCGAGGAAGAGCCTGATGACTGAGGTGATCTCACTGCACCAGAAGAGGGTTTTTTTGGGTTTTTTTTTTTACCAGTTTGCTGCTAGACAGGTGCTGTGGAAAAATGTTTGCACAGGTACTTGAGACAGCACCTTCATTTTTGGTTCAATTTCCAGCCTGTACCAAGCAAAGGCAGGAAGTAAAAGGAGAAAATTCTCAAGAACTCCCCTGGGGAGCTTCAGCAGTGGAGTGACAGAACTTGTGGACACTGAGCTGGCCTGGGGGTGAAGGTTGGGCCCAGCACTCTGTAAATATTGTACCTGAAATGTCAGTTTTCATGTGCAACCAACACGTGACTTTTTCTAAGTTCTCCCTTGTGCTGATTGTATGTGAGACAGTCACAGACTGAATTTTCTATTTATTGTGTGGGTTTATTTGACCAGGCAGAGCAAATCCAATTTGCACAGCTGAAAAAAACCCAACCAAAAGATATAAAACCATCCCCCAAAAAAGCAGCAACACAACTGAAGAAGAACTCCACCCAGAAGTGAGAAGATTTTTGGGGTAAAATAAGAAGAAAGAGCAGCTGGACCATCTCCAAAACCATTCCTTTATTCTGGGAGCCACCTTACAGCCCCTCCCAGCCTGGATTAGTCTGAATCTTCTTCATCCTCGGACCCAGCAGCCCCAGAGCCTGTCTGGTAGCACTGGGCCAGGCTCCTGAGCTCCTCCAGGGCCTCCTGGACGTCGTCGTGCTGCAGCCCAGCCGTGCAGGAGCTGCTGCAGCAGCGCTGCAGCTCCCGGCACAGCCCCGAGAGCAGCCCCTGCAGGCCAGGGCAGCTCTGCAGCGCTGCCAGCACGGGCATGCTCTCAACACCTGCAGGGAGACAGGCACGGCAGGGGTTAAACAGCCACCAAATCCCAGCCTGGTGCAGCTTCAGGAGCACTGGGTGTGCAGGAGCTCAGCTTGGGTGGTTGTATTGGTCATTTTGGTTATGGCTCATTTGGGTTTGTTGTTAATAATTTTGGTAATTTTTTACCTCTGTTGGGCCCCTGATCTCTCTGTTGCAGAGCTGAAGGGGGGTTTGTTACCTGCTGAGGAAAAGCCCTGGGCTTTGTCCAGGAGGAAACCTCGTCTGCTCAGGAGAGGAGAGAAGAACTGGGGGAAGGGAGGCTGGGTGGGACAGGGCTGCTGGAACACGTGGCATGTGCTGTGAGGAGGTGAATAAAGTTACCAGAGCTCCCTCAGCCGCTCCTGTGCTAAACCAGCACCCCTGAAGCTCCAAACCTGCACCCACCTGAAGGCCCCTGGGAACTGGGTGTGCAGGTAGTGCTGCAGCACCTGCTCAGGGCTCTCACAGCTGTGCAGGGGGGACCTGGGCTGGCCCAGGCAGCTGCTGCAAAGGAAATTCAGCGTTTTCCAGCCTGACACCACCAATGCCTCAGCTGCTTTTTAGCTGCCTTGCTCTAAAATCAGGAGCACTCAGGCACTAGGTGCTCCTCAATGCTGGGAGTGAGGAATGCTGCAGGGAGTGCAGTTCTGATGCTGATTTACCTGGTGGCTTTCTCCTGGCAGATTCCTCGTAGCACGGCAGACTGAGCAAAGCAGCAGCTGCCCTTCTGCTCCTTCCACGAGGACAGAAGCTTCCAGGGCACATCCTGGTGGGCACTGAGAACATCAGGGAGCGAGGAGCCAGGCAAGGCAGGGAAGGGAAGAGCTGCCCAAGCAGCCACGACCTGGATGGGGGTGACAGCAGAGCCTGGAACACGCTCCTGGCACAGCTGGGGCTGTGCAGAACAGCTGCAGCACAGCTGGAAGGCGTCCTCATCCTCACCTTCCTCCCAGAGAAGGTGAGGGAGTCAGCAAAGTGCAGCATGGAGCCCTGGGAGGAGCAGAGCCTGTAGGGAGCTGTGAGGGTGTCCAGTGCTGCTGCCAGGACTGCACTGCTGTGGTAGTTCAGGGATGCCTGGGGAGGAGACAAATGCAGCAATTGCAGGGCAGCTCACAGTTTGGGTGTCCAACTTAGCCAGGTTGTAAATTGTGCCTTTGAAGAGGTGGTTTACAGTTATTTCAGGGCTGGGATAAGCAGCCAGTGTGTAACTGTAGCTCCAGCTGACAAATTGTTGGCTGACAAATGCTTTGGTGCCAGTTTTCTTATCTGTCTTTGGCTCCAGTGGGGCTGGAGTTACTCCAAGCATGGAGAATAATGTAGTAAAGCCTTTTCTTCACCCAGCACCCCACCAGAAAGCACAACAGCCAAGGAAATGTGTTAATATTTTCCAAAGCAGGGAGAAAACGACAGAAATGAAAAGTTGGCAGCTGAGTCTCAGTGAAAAAGCAGGAAAAGGTCTCTGCTGAGCAGAACAGCACCACAAAAACCACAGAGCTGCAGGAAACACTGAGAGGGGTAAAGCTGCAGGAGCTCAAAGGCAGCCACGGTGGGAGATGCCAGTCCAGGACTTACGTTGTATTTTATGTATGGAAACGTCACCGGAGGCTCTGGCCTGATCCCCAGGCTCCCACTGAGTGACAGGGGGCAGAAGAGGGAGCTGTGGCGGGAGAGGTGGGCAATGCCCAGGGCTGTGTTCATCACTCTGTACAAACTCTTCTGAGGGTCCTGGAGGGGAAAAAACCCAACCACTGGAACCTTAAGGAGCAGAGGAGAGCCTGTGAGAGCCTGTCCTTGGCTCTGCCCGTTGCTCACTCACTCCCGCAGCGCTCAGGGCTGGAGTCAGGCCCCAGGTCAGGATCCCCTTGCGGGAATATTCATCGTGCAGCAGCTCTGTCACCTTGGCACCAACTCCAGAGAATCCATTGTGGATGTCACACAGGACCTGGAACCCCTGTGGGAAACAGCAGCAGCACCTCAGAATCTGCTTCACCTTGAGCAGAAAGTTTCCTGGAAGGAAAGGGAGCTCGGAGAAGGTGTGAACCTGGAGGTAATCACACTCCTCAACAAAGAAGTGCAGCCGATCTTCCAGCTCCTCCACACAGGCAGGGTCCTGCAGGAGACTTTCACCTTGCCCAAAGGCTTCGAGGCAGCCACAATCCCTAAGGGAAAAAGGGGCAAAAAGAGGTTATTTTATCACTTTCATTCATCCTTGAGGGCAAAACTCAGCCCTGGCCCTACCCATCGTGCAGGTACTGCCGGATCACGTAGAGGCTCTTGGGGTGCAGCTGAACGTTGAGGTAATCAGACCAGAGCCTCACTGGGGGAGCAGCCTGGGACCCTGCAGGAGCTGCACCTGCAGGGAGGCAGAGGGCAGAGCAAAGGTCCTTGCAGCTCTGAGCAGCCCCATGAATATAAAATCGGTTTTCTGACATGCTCTGAGCCTCTCCTTTGTGCTCTCGGCATCCCCTTGCAGCTCTGAGCACCCCCTTTCTGCTCTGGGCATCCCTGTGAACGTAAAATCAGTTTTCTAACAGGCTCCAAGCCTCCCCTTTCAGTTGAGCATCCCCTTTCTGCTCTGAGCATCCTTTTTGAGCTCTCAGCATCCCCATGAACGCAAAATCAGTTTTTTAACCTGTCCAGTTTTTTAGCCCATCTGCTGTGCCCCAGCTCTCCCTAGGCCAAGCACTCTTACCCCAGTTTTCCTTCTCCCTGTTCCTAACGCTGTCCCACAGCGGGAGCCAGGGAATTCTGCCTTTCTGGAACCGACCCCCGAGAACGAGCCCAGCCCGAGCGGCCCCGCGCACAAACCTGGCCCCGCAGCACCGGGACTCCCCTTCCCGTCCCCGGCGGCGTCTCCCTGCGGGAACAGCCCGGATCCCCGCTTACGGGGGGCTCCGCCTCGCCCCCGGTCCCGGAGCGGTGCGGGACCCGCGGCCGCGCTCACCCTGCGGCTCCCGGTGTCCCGCGACGCGCGGCCCCGGTCCCGGTAATCGGCCACGGCCCCGTCCCTGCGACACAAAGCGGCGGCAGCTGCGGGACCCGTCCCGCACTCAGCGGCGGCTCCGTGCCCGCCCCGTCCCGCATTCCCCGGCTCACGATCCCGCATTCATCAGCAGCCCCGTCCCGTCCCGCACTCCCCGGCTCACCGGCAGCCCCGTCCCGCACTCCCCGGCTCACGGCAGCCCCGTCCCGCACTCCCCGGCTCACGGCAGCCCCGTCCCGCACTCACCAGCTCACCGGCGGCTCCGTGCCCGCCCCGTCCGCTCCGAGCGCGCCCACGCCGCCTGCAAGCACAGCCCGGTCACGGCGGGGCCGCGCGTTGCGGGCCGAGCCCCGCTCCCGCCCCGGTACCTTTCAGCTCCAGCGCCACCAGGCGCGGCGCGGGGCTCTCGGCGCCGCCCGGGCCGCGGCCGAAGCGGAGCAGCGCGGCCGCGCGGAGCTCGTTGTGCA